GGTGGTGGGGGTGGTGGAGGTGGGGGCGGGGATGGTGGGTCAGATAAGGGGACCAAGGCTGGTGCCCCGGAGCAGCAGCAGCTGCGGCAGCAGCAGTCGCCGTGGGGACCCCCGCCGCCCTGATGGCCTGGCGTCGCTGGTGGTGGTCGTCGTGGTGGTGGGACGCGCAGCTCGGTGTCGGGTGGCGGCTCCAAATTGACCACCTACCAATACCGGCTTCAATCTAGCCCATGCCGCAGCACCGTCTACGACCATCCGGGTCACACCACTGCCCGCTGCTACCGCCGCCTCGACGATCTCTATCGTCTCCGCTTCGGTCCTACGTCGGACCCTCCTGATTGGTACGCCCTGGTGCGCTGCTGTGTGCGTGTCTTTGAGATTGACATGGATCAGATTAGGAATGCTATGTATGTCACGTATACTAATGAATCTAGTGTGATTGGACCATATTACCCAATGTTTCCTAGTGTAGGTTCCCCTGCTGCGTCAGGCGTCGGACCCTCTGCCTTGTTTAGCCTTGGCTCCACGCTAGCCCGTCCGCGGGCTGACGCTACTTCTTCGCTCTCCTTTACGCTTAACTCTGGCGCGTCCGCCTACTTCTTTCGCGACCATACTGTGCTTACGCCGCTTGCTGCCCCCGCCACTATAACACTTGCAAACCCCTCCTCAGGTCCGGTAGTTTCCCGTAGCTCCACTATCCTTCCCTGTCCGCCGGTTCCCTCGAGCTCTCTTACAGGCCTGCACATCCCCTCGTTCTCTAGGAACCTAGTTGGTGTTGACTATCTTCAGGACCTCGGCGTCACCACTACGTTCCTTGGACACGAGCGGTCTGCAGTCTGTACCGAGGCCGCCACTAATGCCCCTCTCACCACGTTCCCCCAGGACCCCGAATATTGCCTATTCACCCTAGACACCGCGTCCCCCCCTGTGGGAGCGTTCCCCAATGTCGCCGCGTCCTCCCAGGTTGCTGCAGCTTGCTCATGTCGGTCGCTCACCCACACATTGCTACTATGGCACAACCGCCTAGGTCACCCCCGCACTCCCGCGTCTACATCACATGTCCCATCACGGTCTTGTCTTCGGGCTCCCTGCGTTGCTTGCAGCCCTACCTCCTCGCCTGCGCCGCCGTGCACGCCCTGCTTCCAGGGCCGGCTGCACTGTGCTCCTTACCCCTCCTTGCTCTCCCCTTCCAGTGCGCCACTCCAGACCCTGCACCTGGACATTTGGGGCCCAACCCCGTCCCCGGACCGCATTGAGAGCGCTACTTCCTAGTGTTTTTCGACGACTACACGCGCTATACCACGGTGTTTCCCTTGGAGCGGAAGGCCGACGTGCCTGACATTCTTATCTCGTGCGTCGTAGCCGCGCGAGTCCACCGTGGCCTCCCTGTGCTGCGTCTTCACTCCGACCGTGACGGCGAGTTCGCCTCTGGTCGGCTTGGCCAGTTCTGTCGTGCGGAAGGCATCACCTAGTCGTACACCATGCCGGACTCCCCGCAGCAGAATGGGGTCGCTGAGCGACGCATCGGTTTGGTCACGGAAGTGGCTCGTACCTCCATGATTAATGCCGGTGCACCCCATTTTCTGTGGCCGTTCATTGTTCGCTACGACGCTCACCAGCTTAACATGTGGCCGCACTCCCAGCAGCTGCAGGTTTCGCCGACCCTTCTCTGGACCGGGTTCTGTGGTGACGCGTCTACTTTCCACATCTGGGACTGTCTTGCTCACGTTCGCGCTTCTGGCAAGGACAAGCTCATTGCCCGCACTGTCCCCTGTGTCTTCTTTGGCTTCCCCCTCGATGCGTCTGACTAGCACTTTTACCACCCGTTGTCTCACACTTCTTTCACTCGCGTGACGTCACTTTTGACGAGTCCGTCTTTTTCTATCACTACTTTCCCCACCGAAGTCTCCCGATATCTCCGCCCCTGTTTTTGGTTCCCACTCTCCCGGTAGCCCCTGCTCCTCTCCCTCCCCATCTTGCCCCGTCTGGTGTGTCTCACGTCACTCCCCTCTCGTCGGTTGTCCTGGTAGAGGAGTCAGCTGACTTTGGTGGCCCTGCGGCGCCGTTCTCGCCGCTTGTTTCTGCCCGGGTGTCTCCTCCTCTGCCGTTGCAGCAGCCGCCATCGTCGCCGCCGCAGCAGCAGCCGCCATCGTCGCCGCCGCAGCAGCAGCCGCCGCTGGGGTCTGCGAGCTCTGGGGGTGCGGGCGTTGAGGAGGGTGCTAGCTTAGGGGTTCCTGTCGTGCCTCGTCCCAACGGTTCTGGGGGTGGCACCGGTATTGGAGAGGGTAATCGCTCTAGGGGTGTTGGCGTAGAGTGTCCAAGAGGTAGCCGTGGTGCAACTGGAGCAGCAGCAGCAGTCGCCGCCGGTGTCCGCCCTTTGCCACCTCAATCTTCCCTCCTATGACCACCCGCCTATGCCTCCCCCGCCGCCGCCTCCCCTGCCTGTCTACGGCCCTGTGTTTCCTCCGCCGGACTCGTCTCCGGCTCGTTTTCCCCCCCGTTCTCCTCCAATGTCTCCTGAACTTACGCCTCTGTCCCACTTCTAGTCTTGCCATCCCTATCGTGCTCGTCCTGTCTCTCCTGTCCAGCGCTCTCACCCTATGTTGCTTCGTTCTCACGCGTCTCATCCTCCCCTCCTCATGTCTCCTCCTCCTTCGTCATTGGCTATCGCTCAGCCTCCCCTGTCTGACTTCCTCCGTGCCCCCAGTCCTCTTGTTCCTCGGGTTCTCGCCTCTCTTGTTACCGACCCGTCCGTTCCCGTCTCTATTCTTGACACTCTTATCGCTGCCGTCACTGACTTTGCCGCTACCCGCTGCCTTGACTATGGCACCGCTCTGGTCTCTGACCCTGCACGTCCTCCGTCCGTCGGGGGTGCTCCTGCCCTTGGCAGTAACGTCCTGGAGGACCGGTAGTACGAGTTTGATTTCCTGTCCGAGGTCGCGCCTCATCTCTGCTCCATGCTGCTAGTCCCTGAGGGTGACTCTGACGCCTTTGATATCCCAACCCCTCGCACTTACGCTGAGGCGACCTCACGACTATGATCTTCTCAGGGGATAGCTGCCATGGAGCAGGAGATGGCATCTTGGAGATCCACCGGCACCTACGTCGACGCAGTTCCCTCACCTGGGGTGAACGTAGTCGATGGCCGGTGGCTTTTCAAGGTGAAGCGCCCTGCTAGAGAGCCGCCGGTGTTTTAAGGTGCGCTACGTTGCGAGAGGCTTCAGTCAGCACAAGGGTGTTGACTTCTTCTAGACCTTCGTCCCGACCCCGAAGATGACCACTCTTCTCGACTTCTCGACAGCGTTTCTTCATGGCACTCTGCACGAGAAGGTCTACATGCGTCGCCCGCCAGGCTTCACCGGCACCTTCGCCCCAGGGACCCAGTGGCTCCTCCGGCGTCCGGTTAGCGGCCTGCGGCAAGCGCCGTGCGAGTGGCACGACACGTTTCGTCCTAAGTTAGCTGACCTGCAGTTTTTCCTGTTGTCTGCAGACCCGTCGCTCTTTGCTCGTTCAGGCCAGACCCCGTTCTACATCCTTGTCTATGTAGACGACCTGGTCTTTGCTACTGCAAACAGACGCACTGGCCTCCGTGAAGGCCGAGCTGCTGAGGAGATACACCTTCACCGACCTAGGTGAGCTGCGCCGCTACCTTAGACTGCAGATCTCCATGGATACAGCAGCGCGCACCATCACTCTCACACAGTCACACTTGGTGCGCCAGGCCCTTTAGAGGTTTGGTCTTCAGTTCTCCTCAGCACAACCCACACATCTGCCAATAGATCACAGACTCTCAACTCCAGTCCCTGAGGAATCAATAGAGCCTAGTGGTTCATACGCAGAGCTGGTGGGCTGTCTCATGTACCTGATGACTTGCACCTATCCAGATCTCGCATACCCTCTCAGCATCCTGACTCGCTTTGTGGCCACAGGCAGACACAAACCACAGCACCGGTCGGCCGCTAAGAGCGTTTTGCGTTATCTAGCAAGTACATCGGGCATAGGGCTAGTGCTAGGAGGACACAAGTTAGTGGTCGTTACAGGGCACACAGACACTTCGTGGGCAGACGACGCTGAGACGCTCAGGTCCTCCTAGAGCTACTGCTTTAGCCTTGGTGCAAATGCCATCTCATGGAGGTCCACACGCTCATTGTCAGTTGCCCAGTCTAGCTGTGAGGCTGATATCTACGCCGGTGTCATGGAGGCACAGGAGCTCCGCTGGCTCACTTTCTTGCTCACAGACTTAGGTGAGCGGCCTACCTCTACCCCGGTCTTGTACGTTGACAACAGGGTCATGATTCTGCTGTGTCAAGAGCCTTGACTGGAGGGCAGAGCGAAACATATCCAGCTGCGGTACTTCCTCCTGCGCGAGCTACAGCAACGCCGCCAGGCCTGCGTAGTACACTTGGCCTCTGGTGCCAACACAACTGATATCTTTACGAAGGCACTTGCGCCTAGATATCATCAGCAGCACAGTGTACAAGGCTGGACTAGTAGTGCCACCCTGAGCTGCAAGTCTCTTGCCAGGCACTGCCCCTTGTCTAGCCTAAGGGGTGTGTCAACATATTGATGTATATTGTTATAGGCTAGATAGGTGCATGCCATAGCGAGTACAACACCTAGCACAAAACTACCCTGTACCACCCTTCCTAGTTTAATTCGTTACTCGGAGACAAGCCACCCAGTAGAATCATTTGCATTTGTTGGCGTTTTGATAGTGGCATTGCAGAACAGTCAGACCAACATTGTGAATGCTGTGGTGTCTTTTCCAACATGTCCGGTGACCAGTTTTTCCTAATTTATGTGTATATTTATATACCACTTGGCTATACCCAAGCTTGTGGGTACCATGTATTTCTTCAACTTCGTGTGCACCAAAGCAAAGCAGTGCATCCAACCGATGCCGATGCTCGTCGCCTTAGCGGAGCAGTCAGTGCAGTGGCTTCTCTCGGGGTTTCCGACTGACAACTAGCTTGCCCTGCCTTGAGATTCGCATTCTCTTGGGAGTGTCATGTCAGGTCAGCAGGATCGTCGAGTCCTGACCATCGTACGAACCAGGATCAGCCGGCGGCAAGTGCAGTTCTAGCCTAACCTACTATTTTCTAGCATAAGGGTCTCCCAAGCTCATAAGGATGAGACAACTTGTCCTTAGTAGAGTATACGTGGATTTTTTCGTAGGACACGTCGCGACTTGACATATCGAGGCGCAACCAGAGAGACCTTTAGGATTGAATTGACGAGTCTGGGAACTCTAGTTTGACCGATCCCCATCAAATTCTCATATATATTGTCACTTTGTTTATTCGTTAACCATGGGAGCGCGAATCCGCGTGCTGAACGTCGTCGCGGCGGTCGCGATCGTAGTTATTCTCTACTATGTCGGCCGACCGCTGTACTGGGAGTTAGAAGCGCGGCTGCAGGAATACAGAGAGGGATTTTCGGACGCCACTGCCGCTTCGACACAAACAACCGCGGAGGGAGGAAACGTCCAGCCCGTTGGCAACGCGCGAGGTGCGGTATAATAGGATGTCAGGATCGGTTACATGATGTTCGCTTCAACTGACTAAACTGACTATACTGACTAAACCGACGATACTGGCAACCGTGATTGTTAGGGAGGAGACATTCAGTCCGTCGGAAATGCTGTGCATATAGGAATACGAGATGATCAGGATGGTGTACTTTTCAGTTGAGGAATTTGTCTTGAGGGATTTGTCAGCTGTGGTCACCAGGGCAGCTAGGTTGTGCTCCTATAAATCTTACAGCAAGTCTACTGGCGAGGCTGAGTTGCTCTATCCGGAATAAGCTGAGTCACTCTATACGGGGTATGCTGTGTAGAGCGTCACTGGAGCCGGCCTCATTCCCTACACCCCGACGCTGTTCACCCTCTCGACGCTGTCTATCCTCTTCGTGTGCGCAGGTCTCGCGGCAGCAGCACTCCAAGGCCTGCCAAAGGAAGCATTCGTCCCTCTCATGGCTCTAGACGTGGTTGTCCCTGACGCCGCTCACCCTCCCTAGTCTCGCCCTCTCTATTTGTCCTCTCCACCCGTCCAGGTCTCGAGGCAGCCTCTCTCCAGGGTCTGCCGAAGGAAGCGTCAATCGCCCTCATGGCTCTGGACGTGGTTGACCCTGACGCTGCCACGCCAGCCAAGCCGTCTGCCATAGCAAATGCGGCAGCGGGATCAGCTGGAGCAGCAGAAGAAGAAGTAGGAGCAACAGCGGACGGGAGCAGCCAGGAATCTTCAGGCACGTCAGGAGGAGGCTTAGACCTTCCCTCTGAAGCAACAGCAGGAGCAGCAGCAACAGATGCCACTGCCACAGGATCACCCACCACGGACTCACCTGGTGCAGGTGCATCTGGTACAGGTGCATCTGGCGACCAGCAGTTCGCCACAGGCGTGCGTCCCATCCTGCACGAGGGCAGGCCCTTACTGCCGGACCTGAAGCGAGAGATCTGGGAGAAGCCTCCCCCAGGTAGCGCCGTCCCTGCCAGGGAGGAGTTCGCCCTGCGGCGCGAGATGGTGCAGCACCGGCAGCGGGACAACGTGGTGGTCGTCACGTTTGCGAATTACGCGTTTTTGGATTTTGTGCTCAACTGGGTGCGGCACTTGACTGACCTGGGCGTTTACAACATCCTTGTTGGTGAGGCAATGGGGGGGAAATGGGGGTTGGGTGGTCGGTTTGAGCATTAGGGATGGGAGTTGGGAGATGGGGGAATGGGAGATGGGAGGAGGTGCAGCACTGGCAGAGGGAGAACGTGGTGGTGACGTTTGCCAACTACGCGTTTTTGGACTTCGTGCTTAACTGGGTGCGGCATCTGACTGACCTTGGCGTCTACAACATCCTCGTTGGTGAGGCAATTGGGGGGATGGGGTGTGGATGTTTGGTTCCTTCGGTTTCACTGGGAGATGGGAGATGAGAGATGGTGCAGCACCGGCAGGGGGACAACGTGGTGGTCGTCACGTTTGCCAATCATGCGTTCCTGGACTTTGTGCTCAACTGGGTGCGGCAATTGATTGACCTGGGCGTGTACAACATCCTTATTGGTGAGACAATGGGGGGGAAATGGGGGTTGGGTGGGTTGGTTTGAGCATTAGGGATGGGAGTTGGGAGATGGAGGAATGGGAGATGGGAGGAGGTGCAGCACCGGTAGAGGGGTAACGTGGTGGTGGTTGTGACGTTTGTGAATTACGCGTTTTTTTATTTTGTGCTCAACTGGGTGCGGCATTTGACGGATTTGGGCGTGTACAACATCCTTGGTGGTGAGGCAATGGGGTGGTTGGTGAGTCCTTGAAGGGGGGGGGGGGGAGGGCGGTGCAGCATAGGCAGAGGGATAACCCGGTGGTGGTGACGCGCCAGTGCTCCATGTCATGAGGGGGGGAGAAGGCTTTACCCCCATGTCCCCCTCTGCTCGTGCCTATCCTTCCACCAAGTTCCTGGAGGCTCTCTACTGGGAGGGTGTGCCTGTGTTCGATCTAGAGAGCGGCATGACCACGGACGACCCTGGGTGGGGCAAACCTTGTTCTCACATCCCTCCTGCCAACTCCTCCCCCATCAGGCGCCATGGACACCAAGTTTCTGGAGGCTCTCTACTGGGAGGGCGTGCCTGTGTTCGATCTAGAGAGCGGGATGACGACGGACGACCCTGGGTGGGGCACGCCGGTGTTCCACGCCATGGGGCGGGAGAAGGTGACCCTCATCAACGTGTTCCTGTCCTTGGGAGTGCAGCTGCTGATCTGCGACACTGATACTGTCTGGCTCAGGGTAAGATGTGGCTTGGGTTCGGGTAAGATCTGTAAGTGAGTGGGTACAGAGTGGTGCAGGGTGGTCCGGTGGGGCACACTGGTGTTCCATGCCATGTTGCGGGAAAAGGTGACCCTCATCAACGTGTTCCTCTCGCTCGGCTTGCAGCACCTCATCTGCAACACCGACACCGTGTGGCTCCAGCTAAGATGTGGCTGTGGTCGCTGTGGTCGGGGCATGATCTATGAGTGGGTGGGTGAAGGACTGGTGTGAAGGGGTGGGGCACAGCGGTGTGTTCCATGCCATGGGGTGGGAGAAGGCGAATCTCATCATTGACATCTTCCTCGCTCTGGGCGTGCAGCTGCTCATATGTCAAATGCTCGGTGGCACGAGCGCCGTCAGGCTCAGGGTAAGATGTGGTTCAGGGGATGACGTGGTTCAGAGTATGATGCGACATCTCCTCCCCCCCCACCCCCCCCCCCTTCCCTCCCCTGCTGTTTCCCCCCTTGTCCTCCCCCCCACACCCCCCTTTCTTCCACTTTTCACCGTGTGTAATGAGTAGACTCAAAAATCGACTCATTACACACCCACTTTTCACCTGCGGCTAAGTATCCCCTCCACCCTACATGGCTCGCTACCACCAAGCAGACGCCTTGACTATAAGTCACGGTCCAGTCGCCTCAGGCTCTCTCCCGTCCCTCCCTTTCCTGCCCTTCTCTACCGTCAGAACCCTCTACCCTACATGGCTCGCTACCCCCAAGCGGACGTTTTGACTTCCAGTGACCATCTCACACGATCAGTGGAGGACGAGTCGCTGGAGCACTGGGACAGGGGTGAGTGCCTTTTGGCAGCAGGTGTGGGTGGGAGTATTGAGGGAGGGATGAAGCCCCAACACACGAGCTCACTCCCAGTGACCATCTCACACGATCAGTGGAGGACGAGTCGCTGGAGCACTGGGACAGAGGTGAGCACTGGGATAGAGGTGAGTGCTGGGACAGAGGTGAGCACTGGGACAGAGGTGAGCACTGGGACAGAGGTGAGTGCTGGGACAGAGGTGAGTGCTGGGACAGAGGTGAGTGCTGGGACAGAGGTGAGTGCTGGGACAGAGGTGAGTGCTGGGACAGAGGTGAGTGCTGGGACAGAGGTGAGTGCTGGGACAGAGGTGAGTGCTGGGACAGAGGTGAGTGCTGGGACAGAGGTGAGTGCTGGGACAGAGGTGAGTGCTGGGACAGAGGTGAGTGCTGGGACAGAGGTGAGTGCTGGAGGAATGGGGGCGATTGTGGGATAGATATTGGAGATTCGCTCACACAGGGATGGCGAGCCCCTTCAGTCATGTGCGGTATGAGTCCCTGGAGCACTGGGCCCTTGGTGCATGGGGTACTACCGTGGTTTGGTGGCACTACCGTGGTTTGGAAGCACTACTGTGGTGCTCTGGCACTACCGTGGTGCACGGCACTACCGCGGTGCACCGGCACTACCGCGGTGCACCGGCACTACCGTGGTGTACCGACACTACCGTGGTGCACCGGCACTACCGTGGTGCACCGTCACTACCGTGGTGCACGGCACTACCGTGGGGCACGGCACTACCGTGGTGCACGAGCACTACTGTGGTGCACGGCACTACCGTGGTGCACGGGCTACTGTGGTGCACGAGCACTACTGTGGTGCACGGCACTACCGTGGTGCACGGGCTACCGTGGTGCACGGGCTACCGTGGTGCACGGGCTACCGTGGTGTACGGGCACTACCGTGTCAGTCCTGAACAGAAACTGGGGTCGATGCATCACCGTCTTCCTCCTCCCCCCCTCCTCCCCCCCTCCACTACTCCCCCAGCCCAGGGCGCGTACAACATCGGCATTCTCCACTTCCGCCCCACCGACCCGGCCAAGCAGTTCGCCCGTGCATGGGCAGAGCAACTGGCAGGCGACTCTAAGATATGGGACCAGAACGGATTCAACGACCTCATGAGGCAGAAGCTGGGGCCCGACGTCAATCCCGAGGGGAACGATAACGTTTTCTGGGCGTTTGATGGCACGCTCAAGCTGGGGATATTGCCTGTGGCGTTGTTCTGCTCTGGTCATACTTACTTCGTCCAGGTGAGGCTTGCAGTTCACCTCAGTTGACCTGGGTTGACAGGGTTTGGGTTGACTACCGGCTGGGCTGCTGGGGCCCGATGTGAACCCCGAGGGGAATGACAACGTGTTCTGGGCGTTTGATGGCACGCTCAAGCTGGGGATACTGCCGGTGGCGCTGTTCTGCTCGGGCCACACCTACTTTGTCCAGGTGAGGCTTGCAGTTGACCTGGGTTGACTGGGTTTGGGTTGACTTCAAGATGTGAACCCCGAGGGGAATGATAACATGTTCTGGGCGTTCGATGGCACGCTCAAGCTGAAGCTCAAGCTCAAGCTTGGGCGCTCAAGCTGGGGATCCTGCCTGTGGCGTTGTTCTGCTCTGGCCACACTTACTTTGTGCAGGTGAGGCTTGTAATTGACACTTGAGTTAGACTTGGGCTGACTTGAGTTGACTGGAAGCAGGGCCCAGGTGGGCCCTTTTATCAACAGCAAGGGCATGGTTCACGTGTTCTGAAGCTGGGCATCCTACCAGTGGCACTGTTCTGCTCTCACCACACCTACCTTTGCAGGTGAGGTGAGGATACGTTTTGACCTTAGTTGACTCGAGTTGACTGCAGCTGGGTTATAATGTGAGCCTGCCCACCTGTCCAACTGTCCAACTATTCAACTATTCACCTGTTCAATTGTAGAACTATTAAACTGCTCAACTGTTCAACTATTAAACTATTCAACAAATCTACTATTCAACTATTAAACTGTTCAACTGTCCCACTATTCGAGTTTTTAACTGTTCAATTATTCAACTATTCAACTGGTCAACTATTCAACTGTTCAACTGTTCAACTATTTAACTCTTCAACTGTTGAACTGTTCAACTATTCCACTGTTCAACAATTTAACTGTTCAACCATTAAACTTTTTAACTGTTCAATGATTCAACTATTCAACTGTGCAACTATTCAACTGTTCAGTTGCCCAACTATTTAACTGTTCAACTACTAAACTATTCAACTCTTCAACTGTTCAACTATTAAACTGTTCAACTGTCCCACTATTCGAGTTTTTAACTGTTCAATTATTCAACTATTCAACTGTTCAACTGTTCAACTATTTAACTCTTCAACTGTTGAACTGTTCAACTATTCAACTGTTCAACCATTTAACTGTTCAACTATTAAACTTTTTAACTGTTCAATGATTCTAACTATTCAACTGTGCAACTATTCAACTGTTCAGTTGCCCAACAATTTAACTGTTCAACTACTAAACTATTCAACTTTTCAACTGTTAAACTATTCAACTATGTACCTATTTAACTGTTCAACTATTTAACTCTTCAACTGTTGAACTGTTTAACTATTCAACTGTTCAACTATAAAACTGTTCAACTATTCAACTATTTAACTCTTCAACTATTCAACTGTTCAATCAACTACTCAACTATTTAACTGTTTAACTGTTCAACAATCTTCAACTGTTCAACATTCTTCAACTGTTCAACTATTCAATTGTTCAACTGTTCAACTGTTAAGACTGTTCAACTGTTCAACTATTAAACTATTTAACTGTTCAGCTGTTCAACTGTTCAACTATTAAAACTGTTCAACTGTTCAACTCTTAAACTATTTAACTGTTCAACTATTCAACTATCTTCAACTGTTCAACTGGTCAACTGTTCAACTGTTCAACTATTCAACTATTCAAGTGTTCAATCATTAAACTGTTCAACTGTTCAACCTTTCAACTGTTCAACTATTCAACTGTTCAACTATTAAGCTTTTCACTGTTCAATGATTCAACTATTCAACTGTTCAACTTCGACTGTTCAGTTGCTCAACTATTAAACTGGTCAACTATTAAACTATTAAACTCTTCAACTGTTCAACTATTCAACTAACCAACTGTTCAACTATTGAACTATTCAACTGTTCAATGATTCAACTGTTCAACTGTCCAACTATTTAACTGTTATACTATTTAACTGTTCAGCTATTCAACTGTACAACAGTACAACTGTTTAGCTTTTTACCTATTCAACTTTTAAACTGTACAACTATTCAACTGTTCAACTTTCCAGTTATTGAACGATTTAACTGTTCAACTATCCAACTGTTCTACTATCCCACTATTCAACTATTCAACTGTTCAACAATTCAACTGTTCAACAATTCAACTGTTCAACTGTTCAGCTATTCAATTGTTCAACTATTCAACTATTTAACCGTTCAACTTTCTTCAACTGTTCAACTATTCAAGTGTTCAATCATTCAACGATTCAACTGTTCAACTGGTCAACTGTTCAACTATTCAAGTGTTCAATCATACAACTATTCAACTGTTCAATTGTCCCACTATTCAACTACTAAACTGTTCAACTATTCAACTGTTCAACTATTTAACTATTTAACTGATCAACTATCTTCAACTGTTCAACTGTTCAACTGGTCAACTGTTCAACTATTCAAGTGTTCAATCATTCAACTATTCAACTGTTCAACCTTTCAACTGTTCAACTGTTCAACAATTTAACTGTTCAACTATTAAATTTTGAACTGTTCAATGATTCAACTAGTCTACTTCAACTGTTCAGTTGCCCAACTATTTAACTGTTCTACTATTTAACTTTTCAACTACTAAACTATTCAACTGTTCAACGGTTCATCTGTTCAACTATTCAACTATCCAACTGTTCAACTATTGAACTATTGAACTATTCAACTGTTCAATTATTCAACTATTCAACTGTTCAACTGTCCAACTATTTAACTGTTCTACTTAACTGTTCAACAGTTCAACTGTTCAGCTATTTAACTATTCAACTTTTAAACTGTACAACTATTCAACTGTTCAACTATCCAGTTATTGAACGATTAAACTGTTCAACTATTCAACTGTTCAACTGTCCCATTATTCAACTATTCAATTATTTAACTGTTCAACCATTCAACTGTTCAATTATTCAACTGTTCAACTATTCAACTACTTAACTGTTCAACTTTCTTCAACTGTTCAACTATTCAAGTGTTCAATGATTCAACTATTCAAGTGTTCAATCATTCAACTATTCAACTGTTCAACTGTCCCACTATTCAACTACTAAACTGTTCAACTTAGGCTTGAGCATACTACCCGCCCGGGTCAGGTACCCGGTACCCGGATCCGCTTTTAGGGCAGGTCGGGTATTGGGAATCCTGAAAATTACCCGGCGGGTCGGGTCCGGGTTACCCGGGCGGGTATTCGATACCCGTAACGGGTAACCGACCCGAAATCGGGTAGCGTGTCTACCCGACGGAACCAGCGCGACATTGGTCGCGCTGGTAGAGAAATTTCTTTGGTTACGTGAGCTGCTAGGTCACGTAGAGCATTGTAGAGTGGCAGGGGTTGGATTTCGTAGATCCAGATGCATTCAGAGCGGTTGAATTGGGGAAATTGGTTGGAATTCAAACCAATCGAATTTCCCCCATCGATTTTGCAACCCAACCTGAATCCAGCCAACCGCACAGCACCACATTGGTTGGAGTTCCAACCAATTGACTCTGGGGGTCAAAATATCAAACCCCCAAAAACCGCACACAACCCCATCCCAACTAGAAAACCCAACCACCTCGCCACTCGCGCCCTACTCACTTGAACTGTAAAAGATCTGGTGCACCTCTTACTGCCTCCCGCGACTCACGTTTTTAGGTCGTAGGTTTAGCCCAGCACGGTAGGAAAACGCGGGTAATACTACCCGCTTATCAAGGGAACCGGGTTGGGTATACCCGGACCCGCCAGGCGGGTATAAAATTACCCGCCGCCAAATCACGGGTCCGGGTATTGGTCCTGGGCATGTTGCCCGACCCGTACCCGACCCGAAAATACCCGACCCGAAGTCGGGTATAGCAAAACCGGGTCGGGTCGGGTAAATACCCGGTTTTGCTCATGCCTAGTTCAACTATTCAACTATTTAACTATTTAACTGTTCAACTATCTTCAACTGTTCAACTTTTCAACTATTCAACTATTTAACTCTTCAACTGTTGAACTGTTTAAGTATTCAACTATTCAACTGGTCAACTGTTCAACTATTCAACTATTCAACTATTTAACTGTTCAATGATTCAACTATTCAACTGTTCAGTTATTCAACTATTCAACCATTCAACTGTCCAACTATTTAACTGTTATACTATTTAACTGTTCAACTATTCAACTGTTCAACAGTTCAATTGTTCAGCTATTCAACTGTTCAACTATTCAACTATTCAAGTGTTCAATCATTCAACTATTCAACTGTCCCACTATTCAACTACTAAACTGTTCAACTATTCAACTGTTCAACTATTCAACTATTTAACTGTTCAACTATCTTCAACTGTTCAACTTTTCAACTATTCAACTATTTAACTCTTCGACTGTTGAACTGTTCAACTATTCAACTATTCAACTGGTCAACTGTTCAACTGTTCAACTATTCAACTATTTAACTATTGAACTGTTCAACTATCTTCAACTATTCAAGTGCTCAATCATTCAACTATTCAACTGTTCAACTATTTAACTGTTCAACTATTCAGCTGTTTAACTGTTAAGCTACTCAACTGTTCAACTATTGAACTATTCAACTAATCAACTGTTCAACTGTCCAAGAATTCAACTATTCAACTGCTTAACTCTTCAACTATTCAACAATCCAACTATTCAATCATTCAACTATTCAAGCATTCAACTGTTCAACTATTCAACTTTTCAATTGTTAAACTGTTCAACTGTCCAGCTGCCCAACTGCCCAACTTTGCAACTGTCCAGCTGCCCAACTGCCCAACTGCCCAACTGTCCCCAGTTGGGTCCGGAGCCCTGTGCCTGCATCCACTTTCAGCAGCTGTACCACAAGATATGTCTGGAGCCGTATGCCATGCACTGCACGCTACGATCCAGTTCCCCAGCACAGACGGCAAAAGGCACATTCTCCCTCCCCACGTTTCTCCCCCTCCTCGCTTCTCCCCCTCCTCCCCCCTCTTCCCCACCAGCACCTGTATCGCAAGATAGGTCTGGAGCCGTACGCCATGCACGCCACGTTCCAGTTTGCCGGCACGGACGGCAAGAGGCATCGCTTCAGAGAGGCCATGGCGTTCATCGACCCGCCCGAGTACTACGACCCGCCAGGTGAGGCTTGAGTAAAGACACAACCCGCCAGGTACTGCTGGTGTAGATATAGGTTGACAAGTTTTTTGAGGCGCCTCAAAAATCGCCTCAAAATTTTTGAGGCGCCTCAAAAATGAAGTTGCGTGGACTGGTATCTATAGAAGCACAGCAAGAGGCATCGCTTCAGAGAGGCCATGGCGTTCATTGACCCTCCGGAGTACTATATCCCGCCAGGTATTGCTTGCTTGTATGCATGCAGGACCCTAGAGGCACCGCTTGTATAGATGGCTGTGGCTCGTGAGTGCGAATCAGTACCTAGCGGGGCAGGCTGAGCAAACTGGTGTAGAGGCACCGTGCAAGGCACCGCTTTTGGGAGGCCATGGCGTTCACCCATACACTGAGGTGGTTGCTTCACAGTACTTTCTTCTCCTGTCTCACCTCTTGTCCCATGTACCATGATGCACGTCCTGCATGATATTGTGATGTGGCGTGGCGGCGTGCCAGGTGGCGTGCTGTCATTCGTGAACAACATCCCGGAGGAGCTCCTGACTGGGGGGGATCACTCCCTGCAGACCCACTTCAACCTCGTCAACTACCAGGTAGTTGAGCGATCAGTCTGATCAACAGGTGAACAACACCAGGTGAGAGTGGTCAACCTGGTCAACAGGTCAACTAACAGATGAGAGAACACGTTCAGCAAGCAGTGCACGTGTTGCCTCCTCCGCTTTCAGAACACTCTCAGCAAGTAGGGCACTAGGGCCTTACCATGGTGCACTAGGGCCCTACCATGGTGCACTAGGGCCCTACCATGGTGCACTAGGGCCCTACCATGGTGCACTAGGGCCCTACCATGGTGCACTAGGGCCCTACCATGGTGCACTAGGGCCCTACCATGGTGCACTAGGGCCCTACCATGGTGCACTAGGGCCTTGCTGATTATTTTCGCTTTTGTGGGTCACGTGTTTATTGAGACGTCTCAACAACCTCTCATATGTGGTCTCAACAACCTCTCATATGTGGCTTCCTTCGCTTCAATCCTGCCCCTTCGATCCTTTTCTCAAGCAACAATTCGGTATTGGTTCTAACAATTCCACTCTGTGCCTCTCCCCTGCTTCTTTGTGCTTCTCCCCTGCTTCTCTGTGCCTCTCCCCTGCTTCTCTGTGCTTCTCCTGCAGCTAACTAACCTCAGATCAGCTCTCGCCATTGCAACCATACTCAACCGAACGCTGGTAAGTCGTCACCCAGGGATGTGGATGAAACATAGACACTGACATCAATCTCAGATCAGCACTCGCCGTCTCTGCCCCTTTATTCTGACTGTTTTGTCTGAGGCGCTTCAGCAACCGCGCACACTGCAGCAACGCATGCATATGAGGTGACGGGGGAGATGAGGTGACACCCTGCCTGTTCCAACAACGCCTTTCACTTTCACCCTGCCTCTCACCACAGGTTCTACCCGCCACGTGGGTGCGCTTCGACCGCATCTGGTTCCCACACCCGGGCATCCTAGACGGCACCGACACGCCGCAGCCGTTCCTGTCGCCCCTGGACCACCTGGTGGAGGTGCAGCGCATGCTGCCAGGAAAACTTAAAGAGGACGAGTTCGGCCCTGCTGTACCCATCAGAGAATACTCGTTTCTGGATAACCCAAGAACACCACAGGCAGTAAGTACTCTCTGGGATGTGCTATTCGGGGGCGCTCCTTCGTGTTTCCTCTCCCCTCAGGACCACCTGGTGGAGGTGCAGTGTGAAGGAACTAGCTTGGAAGAGAAAAGATTGAATTGAGTAGGGAGCCAAGAGGCTCGTTTGTACAAAACAAGGAGCAAGAAGAGTTGGAGGGGAAGCTCTCCCATTTGGCCATAAAGTGGACCAATGGGAGAGGTTGCTTGTAAGGCAAGCAACCACAAAGTGTGGTGCTCTCCGATTGGCCACAAAGCGGACCAATGAGAGAGATTGCTTGGAAGGCAAGCAACCACAAAGTGTGGTGCTTGGTGATTGGTTGGTTCCTAGGACCAAGGACCATTTGGTTGGAATAGTGCCAACCAAATGTCTAGGACCAAATCCAATCTTGACCAACCCAAATGTGGGGTTGGTCAACCCAACCAACAACCCCCCAATAATTATAATGACTACACCTCCTAATCTAGGCATGCATGTTGTATAGATATATATATTACAACACAACCCCCAACATGCATAAGACTAGAGGGCTTGAATCAGGAGGCGAACAAGGGAATGGGGGGAGCGAGTCCAAGAAGGCGAAGGAGGAATGAGTGGGCGGCGTGGGGGAGGGCTTTGGTGAAGATGTCGGCAAGATTGGCAGCAGAGTCAATCTTGCCCAGCCGGAGGTGGCCACCCTGCACAAGCTCGCGAATGAAGTAGTGGCGAAGCTCAATGTGCTTTGAGCGCCCGTGGAACACAGCATCCTTCGTGAGGTGGATGGTGCTGGCGTTGTCGCACTAGATGGTGGGACAGCGCTGAGGGGCACCAAGCTCCTCAAGAAGGAAGGAGAGCCAGCGGGCCTCCTGCGCAGCCATGGTAGCGGCATACAGCTCTGCTTCGCAGGAGGAGAGGGCAATGGAGAAGGAGCGGGTGGAGCGCCAGCTGATGAGGCCGCTGCCAAGAGAGAAGCCATAGCCCTGAGAGGAGCGGCGGTCAGGCCTAGAGTCAGCCCAGGAGGAATCAGAGTAGCCAGTGAGGAGGGGAGGGGAGGGGCCGCCAAGGGTAAGGACGTAGTCCTTGGTCCCCCGAAGGTAGCGGAGGACTCGCTTGGCCGCTTGCCAGTGGGCGGCATCATGCTTGCCGGTACCAACGAAGCGGGCTAAAACGCTGATGGGGTATGCCAGGTCAGGGCGGGTGGATACCATGGCATACATGAGAGAGCCGATGAGCTCAGCGTAGGGGTGGGAGGAGGAGGAGGGGGAGGTGAGGGGAGTGAGGTGGTGCCCAACAGGAAGAGGGGTGACCTGAGGGGTGCCTCGAGCCATGTCGAACCGCTCCAAGACCTGCTGCAGGTAGTGGCCTTGGGAGAGGGAGATGGTGCGAGTAGCACGATCGCGGGTAATCTCCATACCGAGATAGTGCTGCAGCTCCCCTAGATCCTTACACTTGAGCCGGCTACCAAGCTCACGCTTGACGCGCTCGAGCTCGGCGGAGTCGGCAGTGATGAGGATCATATCGTCGACATAGACGAGGATGTAGAAAGGGGAGGGTGAGGTGCGGAGGAAGAGGCTGGGGTCGGCACGGGAGGTGCTGAAGCCAAGCTCGGCGAGGGTGGCAGCAAGCTTGGCATGCCACTCCCTTGGTGCCTGCTTGAGCCCATAGACCGGCCGACGCAGTTGCCAGACAGAGTTGGAAGGAAAGGGGAGGTGGAAGCCTGCAGGACGCTCCATGAAAATGAGCTCGCGCAAGACCCCCTGGAGAAATGCGTTGGAGACGTCCATGGAGTGAATCTCCATGTTGAGGCGAGCGGCGAGGTCGAGGACTGCGCGAATGGTAGCGGGCTTGGCGGTGGGAGAGAAGGTGTCGAAGAAGTCGACAGCGTAGCGCTGGGTGAAGCCCTTGGCGACGTAGCGGGCCTTGTAGACCGGCGGCTCGCCAGGAAGCTGCTTCACCCGAAACACCCACTTCCCTTTGACCACGTTCGTGGTAGAGGGAGGGCGGGGCACATCCACAAAGGAGGAGTTGGCAATAAACGCCTCCAACTCCTTGAGGATGGCCGCGAGCCAGAGGTGAGCGTCAGGGCACGCCATGGCCTCCTCGTACGTGGCGGGGACGAAGATGGTGGGGGCGGAGGAGAAGGCGAAGACTGGTGTGCCGCTGAGGTCAGGAGAGATGGGTAGGAGGGCTGGATCATGCAGGTGGAGGTTGAGGAACTCCTCATGGGAGTCCTCGAGGAGGGAGGAGTGGAAAATGAATGGGAGGACTGCAGCTGCTGCTGCTGCTGCTGCTGCTGAGGATGCATTTGCTGCTGCTGCTGCTGAGGCGGCTGCTACTGCTGCATCTGCTGCCGCCGCTGCTGCTGCTGCGGGTGAAGGCGAGGAAGGAGCGACGGCTGCTGCTGCTGGTGCTGCTGCGGTGGGTGGAACCGCTGCTGCAGCTGTTGCTGCTGCTGGTGGGGCTGCTGTACTGGAGCTCGACGGCAGGGTTGGGCTAGTGTTTTGTTGTAAAACTGTCTGAAAAAGGAGGTCCATGAGAGGGGAGAGAGGAGGCAAGGGAGAGGAAGAGAGGATAACAGGAGGCGGGGCACCTAGGATTGTGTCACGCGACCTGGTGTGGGGATACCGGGTAAGGATGGAGCGGGTGGGACGCAAGGGGGGAGGGGGACGTGGGGGGGAGGGAGGAGGAGGGGAGGGGGGAGGAGGGGAGGGGGGGGGATGGGAGGGAGCGGAGGGGGAGGAGTGGGACGGGGAGGCGGGGGGGAAAAAAGGGTCAGGGTCAAATATGTCACCAGAGGAGGGGGGAGCACTAGGGACCGAGGCGGCGGGGAATGGAGGAGGTGGAGCGGGAGGGAGGATGGGAGGGGGAGGGAGAAGAGGGGGTGGGATAGTGTCGGACCAGTTGAGGGGCCTGGGAGCAGGGGCGAGAGGGTCAGTGGGGGGAGGAGTGGAATAGTAGGGTGTGGACTCATCAAAGACTACATCCCGACTGCGGAGGAAACGACCTGAGGGGGGGTGAAGGAAGAGGTAGTCCGGGGAGGAGGGATTATGACCAAGGAAGATGCAGGGGAGGGTACGGGAGGCGAGCTTTCCCATGGTGCGGGGGCGATCCGCAGGGTGAATGAGGACATACGCCCTGGAGCCGTCAGGCTTGGCCGACGTCCAGAGCTCGGTGGGAGTGGTGGAGGGAAGGATAGGGTGGGGGTACAGGTTAGTAAGGAGGGTGGCGTGAAGGAGGGCATAGCCCCACAGAGAAGGGGGGCAAGAGGCATGGACGAGGAGACACCGCGCAATCTTGGTGATCTCCCGAACACAGCTCTCGGCCACACCATTCTGTTGGGGGGAGTGGGGGAGGGTGTGAGTCTGGCGAATGCCATGAAGCTCACAGTAGGAGGCTACCTGACGATTAAGGAATTCGCCACCGCCATCAGAGTGAAGGCGGCGCACAGGGCGGCCAAAGTGGGTGCTCGCCTGCTTGAGCCAGGCGATGATCGCAGCCGGAGCGTCACCCTTCGAGCGAAGAAGGGAGACGGACGAATATCGGCTGTGATCATCGACCAGAACAAGCATGTAGCGATGGCCCTGGCGGGAAGGGGAGGGGTTGGGGCCCCAGAGGTCCATGTGAACAAGATCAAGCGGCTGGGCAGCAGCGGAGGGGGAACTCCGATGCGGCAGCTGCCTGAGCTTGCTCTGGACACAGACGGAGCAGGGTGGGGCAAGGGAGGGAGGGAGGGGAGGGAGGGTGAGGGGAAGACCTCGAAGGAGACCTGAGGAGACGGTCGAGCGGAGGGTGGCAAAGTTGGGGTGACCAAGCCTGTGGTGGAGGAGGATGGTGGGATGGGAGAGGGATCGACAGGAGCAGGTTGGGTCAGGGGGGAGGGGGGGAATGGTTGGGTTAGAAGGAGGGAGAGGAGGGGGAGGGATGTGAGGTGGGGGGAGGGAGCGGGAGACTGCCTGGGCAGAGGGAAGACGAGGAACTCGAAGGGTATATAGGCGGGAGAGAGGGCAAAAGGGAATACGGGAGAGGAGGCGACCTGTGGGATGGTATAGGAGGCAGTGATTAGCGCGACCTGGGAAGACGGTGGTGATACTGGCCTGCTGCAGGGATCGCTGGGAGAGGAGGTTAGTACGGAGGGAGGGGATGTGTAAACCAGTGACGGTACTTGAGGGGAAGAGGGGACAGGGGAGGGTAGAGGTGTGGCGACAGGGAATAGAGAAGCTGGAATCGGCACCAAGGAGGGAGGTGGGGGCTGGGAGAGGGTGAAGGGTACCAGCATCACGAAGGACGGACTCGGTGGCTCCACTGTCAAGGACAAAGTCCAGTGGGGTGGAGGGGGGAGGATGTGGGGGAGGAGGTGGGACGGAGTACTGAATCACATTCTCATTAATAGCAGCCGAATACATAGAAGGGGCGGGGGTTCCAGCGTGACTAAGCATGCCAACAAAACTAGAGGAGGGGAAAGGAGTCACACTGCCTGTGGCTGAGGGCGCGGGAGACGCGCCCGAGAGGTGAGCTGCGGAAGCGGCGGTGCCGGCGGTCCAAGCGGAGTAGGGCTGCTGGGGGGGAGCCATAGGAGGAGGTGCAAGGGGGAGCTGCGACTGGAGGTCAAGCTGCTGCTGGAGCTGGTGGAGCTGCTGCTGCAACTGGGAGAAGAGGTGCTGCTGCCCCTGCTGCTGCTGCTGCTGCTGCTGGAACTGCTGCTGCTGCTGCTGCTGAAACGGCTGCGGCAGGATCTGCTGCTGCTGCTGTTGCTGAGAGACGGCCTGGTGGGCCAAGGGGGAGGAGACGGGCTGAAAAAGAGGGGAGGTGCGAACCTCCTGAGGAGTGGGGCGAGGGGAGAGGGAGGACCAGCGGGGAGGGTTGCCGGTGTTGCCGCGGGCAAACCACTCATCACTGAGCGCTTTGAAGCAAGAGTCAGTGGCATGGGTGGTCCGCCCCGCATGGGGCCATAGCGAGGGAGATACTGGCAAGGAGGAAAAGCGGCTGCTGCACCACGTCCTGCGCCATTGCTGCCACGACCCGCGCCACCACCACGACCAGCGCCACGCCCACCCCCACGCCCTCCCCTGGTGTTGCGCTGCTGAGCAACAGCGGCAGTGGAGGAGGAATGGCGCAAGAGGTCGGCTTTGGTGGTGATAATCCACTGGGCGACTTCAGCCGGGGTGATGCGCTTGTCGATCAGCTGCATGTAGGCGATCTTATGGGTGTCGAAGGCAGGAGACAAGCCTTCAAGGAGATGGCAGCAGAGCACTGGGTCCGGGTACGGTACGCCAAGAGCCGGCAGGCGCCGAGCGAGGTCGAGGACGCGACGCGTGAAGGCAGCTGCGCCGGTGGTGGCGTCCATGGTGAGGCTCTGGAACTCCTTAATGAGAGAGTAGAGGGTGGCGACGTCCTGCCGATCATAGAGATCGGTGAGGAGGCGCCAGAGGTGGGAGGAGGAGGTGGGAGCAAGCTCTCGCTTGAGGGTGGGAGGAATGGTGGCGAGGAGGATGGTGAGCGCGCGCCGGTCAGCGACACGCCAGGCAGCGAGGTCGGTGATGTATGCGCGCTCGCGCGTGACGTACTCCGCGAGCGCCGCCTGATACGTGTTGTAGGCGGCAGTGGCGGCGTCATGCTCGGCGCTGGAAGCCTCGAAGAGCAGCTGCTGGCGGACGTGGTCGGTGAGGCCGGCACGGTAGGTGCGGATGGCGGTCTCGGAGCTCTGAGGGTCGTTGACATCAGGGGCGAAGGTTGGAGGATCGCCGGGGCTGACGGGAGCATCGCCAGGAGGAGGAGGTGCAGGGCCCGCGGGAGCATCCGGCTGGGCAGGCTGAAGACCGCGCTCCTCGAGATGGACAACGGCTTTCAGGTTGTAGCCGTTGACCGTCACCGAGGAGAGAAGCACCGTGACGGTTTGGGCATAGGAATGCCAATTGACCGCGGTGTTGTCGGGCAGCAGCTCAAGAGCGTCGACGGAGGTAAGGTCCACCGAGGAATCGGACGCCATTGAGGAGGAGGAGGGGAAGGAAGGTGGGGGGGAGGAGGAAAAGGAAAGGAGGAGGAAAAAGGGGGGGAGGGAGGAGAAGGATAGGTGCGCGGAGCGCAGCTCTTAAGTCGCCGAGCTGCGCGACGCGCTCCAAGGAAGATGCGGCGGCCGGCTGCACGCCGAAATGGCGCGACGATCGGGTGCACGCGACTGCGGAATCGACGCAAGCGGCCGTGCGCGGCGGAGAAATCGACCGACGGCCGTGCGCGCGCGGCGGCAGAGAGTCGATGGGTGCGGTGGGAGGATTTGTCGACGGGCGTGCGCGGGAGCCGTGACAAATGGGCGCGCGGAGACCGCGACGGACGGGTGCGCGCAAACGCGGAGGGCGCGCGACGGGAGGGCGCGACGGGAGGGCGCGACGACGGGCCGCGCGACGGAGGAGCGCACCAACGAGCGCAATAGGAGAATGCGATGGCCACAAGCGCGTCGTCAGGCGCGACGGGAGGCGCACGGCGGAAGGGAGAGCGGGCGCGGTAGAAGGCGCGCGACGGGAGGAAGATCGGGCGCGACGGAGTAGCGCGCAAGAGAGGGCGCACGGGGGGGCGCGGGAAGTAGCCTAAGGAAGGGCTAGACTTCGAAGACGAGGAGGGACGGCATAGGGCCGTGCTAGTTAGGATCGACTAGAGGTGGCGTGAGCCATTGTGGCTCTGAATACCATGAAGGATCTAGCTTGGAAGAGAAAAGATTGAATTGAGTAGGGAGCCAAGAGGCTCTTTTGTACAAAACAAGGAGCAAGAAGAGTTGGAGGGGAAGCTCTCCCATTTGGCCATAAAGTGGACCAATGGGAGAGGTTGCTTGTAGGGCAAGCAACCACAAAGTGTGGTGCTCTCCGATTGGCCACAAAGCGGACCAATGAGAGAGATTGCTTGGAAGGCAAGCAACCACAAAGTGTGGTGCTTGGTGATTGGTTGGTTCCTAGGACCAAGGACCATTTGGTTGGAATAGTGCCAACCAAATGTCTAGGACCAAATCCAATCTTGACCAACCCAAATGTGGGGTTGGTCAACCCAACCAACAACCCCCCAATAATTATAATGACTACACCTCCTAATCTAGGCATGCATGTTGTATAGATATATATATTACAACACAGTGCAGCTGTCGCGGAAGCTCAAAGAGGACGAGTTTGGCTCTGCAGTGCCCATCAGAGAGTCAAACATGGTCAAACATGGTCCACTAGCCTCTGGTAGTGTCCAGTGGAACATACTCGTTTCTGGACATCCCGCGCAGACCCACTACTGGACTCCTCCCGTGCCGGAACCCCCAGAAACCATCCGACCACTTCCCTCCCGGCCCTCTTCTCCTCAGCTGCTCAAGTCGAAGCTCTCTGTGGAGCTGTGTGACGAGGGCTCCCCCGACTGCCTCACACCAAGCAAGCATCATATAATCACCCCCCGTCTCCATGATCCCGCCCCCTCGTCGCCCCTCAGCTGCTCAAGTCGAAGCTCTCTGTGGAGCTGTGTGACTAGGGCTCCCCCGACTGCCTCACACCAAGCAAGCATCATATAATCACCCCCCGTCTCCATGATCCCGCCCCCTCGTCGCCCCTCAGCTGCTCAAGTCGAAGCACTCTGTGGAGCTGTGTGACAAGTGCTCCCCCGCCTGCCTCACACCAAGCAAGCATCATATAATCACCCCCCGTCTCCATGATCCCGCCCCCTCGTCGCCCCTCAGCTGCTCAAGTCGAAGCTCTCAGTGGAGCTGTGTGACGAGGGCTCCCCTGACTGCCTCACACCAAGCAAGCATTATATAAACACCCCCCGTCTCCATGATCCCGCCCCCTCGTCGCCCCTCAGCTGCTCAATTCGAAGCTCAGTGGGGCTGTGTGATGAGGGCTCCCCCAACTGCCTCACTCCAAGCAAGCATTATATAATCACCCCCCGTCTCCATGATCCCGCCCCCTCGTCGCCCCTCAGCTGCTCAAGTCGAAGCTCTCAGTGGAGCTGTGCGACGAGGGCTCTCCTGACTGCCTCACCACGCCACACCCCTTCTGACCACTCTCCTTTCCCCTTGACTGCTCCCCTTCTCTCACCCGCCCCGTTGTCGTCCCCTCAGCTGCTCAAGTCGAAACTCTCAGTGGAGCTGTGCGGCTAGGCCTCCCCTGACTGCCCCAACACGCCACACCCCTTCTGACCGCTCTCCTTTCTCCTTCACGTCTCCCTTTCTCCTCACCCGCCTCCTCGTCGCCCCCTCAGCTGCTCAAGTCGAAACTCTCTGTGGATCTGTGTGACGAGGGCTCTCCCGACTGTCCTCTCTCGCCAGACCCTCCTACCGACAAGCTTCGAATAAAGAAGAACACACGGCAGAATGAGGTGAGGGAGGGTGGGACACCCAAGGCCGCTGCTGTTTTGCCCCTCCATTGTAACACTTCCACCGCGCTACCACCTCTCGTCCCTCTCGTCCCGCTTGTTCCTATTGTTCCTATTGTTCCTCTTGTCCCTCTCACCCCTCTCACCCCTCTCACCCCTCTCACCCCTCTCACCCCTCTCACCCCTCTCACCCCTCTCACCCCTCTCACCCCTCTCACCCCTCTCACCCCTCTCACCCCTCTCACCCCTCTCACCCCTCTCACCCCTCTCACCCCTCTCGTCCCTTTCGTCTCTCTCATCCCTCTCGTCCCTCGCATCCGTTTCATCCTTGAATGACCACCTTATCCTCCCATCGCTTGCTCTTGCTTCAAGATCAAGCAAAGGTCTCATTCCTCACTCTGCTCGCCCCCCTCGTCGATTGGTATCCCGCAGCTTAAAGCCACGCTTTCACGCTACCCAGATTCCAAGTGGATCGAATTCTCCTCCATGGTTGACTCATTCGGCGGGTGGGATGATAAGGTGCGGCCGTTGTCTCATTTGTTCTAGATCTCTCCACATAAATTCCACACGTCCTGAGGCGATTTTTGAGGCGCCTCAAAGGTTGCTGCTCCATAGTTGACTCATTCGGCTTGTGGGGTGACAAGGTGCAGCGTTGTCTTCCCCGCCTCCCTCTGTGTCTCCTCCCTGTATCTGCCACCCGCTGTGTTGCCGGCCACCCTCTGTGTTGCCGCCCACCCGCTGTGTTGCCAGCTTTCATCTTCTCCCCCACCTATCTGTGTCCTGCGGTCGGTGCACTGGTTTGGTGCACTGGTTTGGTGCACTGGTTCGGCACACTGGTTTGGTGCACTGGTTCGGTGCACTGGTTCGGTGCACTGGTTCGGCACACTGGTTTGGTGCACTGGTTAGGTGCACTGGTTCGGTGCACTGGTTCGGGGATCGGTTCACCAGGATCAGTTCACTGGGGTCGGTACACTGGGGTCGGAGCACTGGGGTCAGTGCACTGGGGTCGGTGCACAGGGCTCGCTGCACTGGGATGTGCTGTTGCATGCGTGGCACGGCATCCCCCTTGTCCTTCCACCCCGCTGCGTGAAGGCGAGAATTTGAAGAACAATTTCGGAATCCTGATTGCCCCACTGCCTTTGGGGCAGTATCTCGGTTCTTTTGCCAGGTCTCATTGGTCCTTGTCCTTTCTCCTTCCTCCCGCTCTGTACCCTTGTCCTTAGTCCCTTATGGCAGCACTGCACCTTATGACAGGCTCCAATGTGTTGTATGGCACCCCCGGCATCCACTGCGGCTTATCTCGATCCCGCTGTGACTGTTGTTTCATGAGCAGGCAATGGAGAAGAAGTTTAGGTGGCGGCTACGACAGTATGTGGGCATCTGGTGCTGCGTTAACGCCCAGCCAGGTACAATGAACAGGCTCGTTTTGAGGTGCCCGGCATTAGGTACAGTGAACGGCTCTAGGTGCTGTGCATCAGGCACACAAAGAAGCTGACTCTTGAGTCAACTCAAAAGTCAGCTCATAAGGTACAGTGAACGGCTCTAGATGCCGTGCACCAAGCACACAAAGAACTGGGCCCACACACTGGTGGAGACCCACAGCCAGGCACGCATTATGTGGTCATCTGGTGCTGCATGAATGCACAGCAAGGCAAGGTGCTGCGTGGGCGCATAGCCAGGTAGTTTGTGGGGCTGAAGTGTTGTGCTCACCTGCATGACATGTTCCTCTGTGCTCGCCTGTGTGACATGGCGGGTGGAAGCCATGTGGCCTTAGAAAGCCTACTCACATGAAAATCTCCATATTTTCCTCTGTCCTCTCCGGCACCCCCCCAGGTCACATCTGGTATGACTTTTTCCACCATGAGACCCCAGGGTGGAAGCCAGCAGGAGAACTCGCAAGTCACTCCCTTCCCCCCTCCCCCTCCCCCCCCACGCCGCCTTCCCATTCCCTTCTTCCTCCCCCAGGTCACATCTGGTACGACTTCTTCCACCATGAGATGCTGGGGTGGAAGCTCCGGGCCTTAGACCGGCAATTCACAAAGATTACCTTACTCTCTCCTATCCTGCCTGTCTCCCTAACAATGAGACCCGTTGGAGCGATGTCTTCGACGATGAGATCCTGGGGTGAAAGCCAGGGCCACCGGCTGAATGGTTTTTGAGGCGCCTCAAAAGCAAAAAACTATCCTGCCTGTCCCCCTAATGATGAGACCTGTTTGTCCGATTCCTTCGACGATGAGATCCTGGGGTGAAAGCCAGGGCCACTGGCTGAATGGACCAAAGACGGCTTTCTTAAGGGGCAGGTCCTCTGGTGTAGATATAAGTTATCAATCTAAAAGCAGTCATCTACTAAAAAAATAGCAATTGCTTACACCCACCTTTCCCCATGTGTCCCCCCCCCCTCCCCCTTCCCCCCTCCCCCCCTCCCCCCCTCCCCCCCCTTTCCACAGGTCACATCTGGGACGACTTCTTCAACGATGAGATCCTGGGGTGGAAGCCTCGGGCCCTAGACCGTAGCTCACATGACATCACCTTGCTCTCTCAGGTCCTGCCTGACTCACCCAGGTCACATCTGGTACGATTTCTTCGACGATAGGATTCCAGGGTGGAAGCGACACAACCACCAGCCAACTGGACGGAAGACGGTGTCCTCTAGAGGCAAACCCTCAGACACTCACTTCTTCCCATGCTCCCCCCTCCCCCTCTTCCCCCAGGCCATATCTGGTATGATTTCTTTAACGATGAGATCCCGGGGTGGAAGCCACGGCCACCGGCGAATTGGACAGAGGACCACCCGCCGTGGGGTAAGGACCAACCTGGTGCCTTATGACTAGCACAGGCCCTGTGGCGGTTGTTCTCTTGAGCCGGCTCTAATGTCGGATGGAGAGTGGTCCGGCTAAAAGGAATAGACGACCATCCACCACAGGGCCAACCCGGTGGGTTATGACTGGCACAGAAGACGGTTGTGGGATTATGGCGGCGGCTCGTTGACACTTGCAAGGGGGAAGAACCAGCCAACTGGCTAGAGGATCATCTGCCACAGGGCAAGGATGAACCAGTGCTTGATGTCTGGCGCCGGCACTATGGCGGCAATATGGTGGACTTAGCTTCCTGTGTTGTAGTGGGTATTACACCTAGCCCGCGGTATTTTCACACCCAATATTTTCACAGGGGGTGCCGCCGAGAGAGTATTCACCCCCCGAAAGCAGCTCTTGAAGACCAGATCCGGATACCCTTGAAAAAACATTTTGAACTTGGGTTTCTATACGAAACGTTTACTGCTCGATTTAGTGTTTCTCGAGTCAGGAAACCCGGCGTAAGCTTAGGCAGTGCTCAAAGTTTTTGCCCGCGTGGAGCCTGCCAAGCGTAGGCTGTAGGAACAAGGGGGTACTGTCTACGCACTCAAAAATGGTCAGGGTGGAAACAGAAATTCTTCTGCCTCCCAGTTTCAGGGTGTGTACTAGTGGGTAAGATGAGGGCATGTCCAGTGCATTCGTTTTTTGTCAAAACCCCACCCAACCGTTTTAGATTTGTTATCGATCCTTCTGATCCGTGAGGCACCTCACCCAACCGCAATCAAACGTACGCGCTGGACACGCCCTGATGAATTCAAGTAGTGACATTTTTGAACTCGTTAGGTATTCTCTTTGCGGGTCTGATATTTCCTTCCAGGAGCGTGTGCCAGGTCACATTTCTCTGGCCCGTCGTCAGCATTCCCGAAATCTTGGGAGGTGTCATCAGGTTGTGTGATGACGACAGTTTGTGATTGCAACAAGCATAAATCTCACGCGAATCCTTCCGAAAATGAAGATTATACCTTGAGAGAATTATGCCAACTTTCGGTGAAGTCAATGGTAGCGAGGGGGAATCGGCCCTTGGGAATATGTGGTCCCAAGTGTCAGCACAATCTGCAATTGCCACGCAATCGTGACGTCATCTGAGCTGACCCGCTGTCAACCGACTTCAAGGAACTTCAACCCGCGAAACCAACCCTCAGGATCATTCACGAATTCTGTTGGCAGACGGTAACCAGCAGTAACTTCGCGTGTTGGCCGTTGGATGCGATTCATCGCTGAGGGAAGGCCAGATCCTGGGGAAGCATAGCCTTCTTCTCCAGCCTCCTGTCCAGTGCTTCCTTCCATCCTAGCGCCTGACATTCCAAGTTCCTCTAGACGTTCCAAGTTCCTCCTCACATTCCTGCACCAGCCTGCCTCTGTGGAATTCCATCAATCCACACATTTCCACCCCACAAGCCGAGAGTTTCATTTCATTACCTTCCAACGTCCCTCTCACCACCGCCATTTCCGGTCCGCTTTTCAAGTCCTGGCGAGACGACTCTTGGCTGAAGCGTCGCTCATTGCCACCACATTCAGCTGCTTTGCCTTGAGCCTTCCCACTCCGTTCACCTCATTTCCCGCACACCCGCATCCCGCTCCGATACCCGCGTCCATCGCCTACATTAAACGATAACCGTCGGCAACACTTCTCCGTGCCATTGTCACCCTACATCCGATAATAGCTGGCTCACGCCATCCTATTTATTACCGCTACCGCCAACGCTAGTAGCGCTCTCGTAATCTCCATTTGCTTCTGAGTCGACGCAAGATAGCATTTGGAGCTCGTTCGTCGCCACTTCTTGTCAACGCTTCAACGTCTGTCGAACAATCGCTATCTCAGAGTTCTTTTATTGCAGTGTTAACCTTGACGACATTTGCCACTGGAAGTTCGCGTTCGTTGGCTTTCATTAGCCATCGCTAGCGTTCGCTAACTTTGATTAGCGTCGTCAGTTTTCGTCAGCCTTCGTTAGCTTTCGCTAACTTTGGTTAGCATCGTCAGCTTTCGTCAGCCTTCGTTAGCTTTCGGGGTCGCATTCCTCCATGGCGAGCGCCGCTTTGATGCGAGCAGCTGTCAGAAGGACTCGAGATGTCATGCGGTGTGGCCCTGCAGCAGCCGCGTTGCTGAATGTTCATCCGGATCATCCTGGCCGTTCATCGCGGCCCTTCCACCATGGCCGAGCTGTCATTGTGAACAAGCGCGGAGCCGACCTCCTCCACGACCCCTGGTTCAACAAAGTAAGCAATGTCAGAGGGGACGTCAAAGAGTGAGTCTTTTACAACAATCTAATGCCTGGACATGCCAACAAGTTGACACAAGGAGCCGACCTCCTCCACGACCCCTGGTCCAACAAAGAGAGTTACTTTTTCGGGGGTTTTCTTGGAAGTGAGGTTTTTTTTGGAAGTGGGGTTTTCGTGGAAGTGAGGTTTTCTTGGAAGTGGGGTTTGCTTGGAAGTGAGGTTTTTTTTCCCATCACAATTTAACGCCTGAACATTTCAACGCCTCACTGTTGAGTGGACTCAAGGAGCCAGCCTCCTCCACGACTCATGGCTCAACAAAGGAAGCAGTCTCTAAGTGGACTCACAAAGTGGGTGAGTCTCTTTCCAAAACAAACTAACGCCTGGACATTCTGGAATCTAGAGCCCCAAGTATAACGCATCACGTCGCTGGCTCTTGCGTTGTGCCTCTTGTCGCTGGTTCTTGCGCTGTGCCTCTTGTCGCTGGCTCTTGCGCTGTGCCTCTTGTCGCTGGCTCTTGCGCTGTGGCTCTTGTCGCTGGCTCTTGCGCTGTGCCTCTTGTCGCTGGCTCTTGCGCTGTGCCTCTTGTCGCTGGCTCTTGCGCTGTGCCTCTTGTCGCTGGCTCTTGCGCTGTGGCTCTTGTCGCTGGCTCTTGCGTTGTGCCTCTTGTCGCTGGCTCTTGCGCTGTGCCTCTTGTCGCTGGCTCTTGCGCTGTGCCTCTTGTCGCTGGCTCTTGCGCTGTGCCTCTTGTCGCTGGCTCTTGCGCTGTGCCTCTTGTCGCTGGCTCTTGCGCTGTGCCTCTTGTCGCTGGCTCTTGCGCTGTGCCTCTTGTCGCTGGCTCTTGCGCTGTGCCTCTTGTCGCTGGCTCTTGCGCTGTGCCTCTTGTCGCTGGCTCTTGCGCTGTGGCTCTTGTCGCTGGCTCTTGCGTTGTGCCTCTTGTCGCTGGCTCTTGCGCTGTGCCTCTTGTCGCTGGCTCTTGCGCTGTGCCTCTTGTCGCTGGCTCTTGCGCTGTGCCTCTTGTCGCTCCTCACTCCCTCTCACTGAACGCCTTATCACATCCTCTTGACTCTTAACGAATCACCTTATTCTTCTGCATACTCCTACTATTCATCTTATCCTCCTTTCCCTGCAGCACACGGCGTTTGAGGCGCCTGAACGGGATCGCTTGGGGCTGAGGGGCCTCCTTCCGCCGGGCTACCAGACTATGGAGGAGCAAATGCAGCAGTTCAGTGAGTCTTCCTACCTCCACGTGCTATACACCCCCCTAAACAACCGATACTCAACCGGCGGCATTCACCATGCCGTATGGCCTCCCATCTTTGTCTTCCCCTTGTGCGTCACTATTCACTTGGGGCTAAGCGGCCTCCTTCCCACGGGCTACCAGACCATGGAGGAGCAAATGCAGCAGTTCAGTGAGTACCAGAGCTGCTGCCTCCTATACGCGTTATTGAGACGTCTTACACTCAACTTTTGGGCTGAATCGTGCGTCCTGTCCCTTGCCGGATAACCTGACCACGTCTTCTGGCTTCCTCTCCTGAAGACCTTCGTCCTCCTTGCTCTCTTTCCCAAGTGAGGCAGTACGAGGCGATTGGCCACAAACCAAGGACAGCACCGTAAGACCAAGGACGACCTTGTGGGTCTGCTTCTACCCTTGCTCACTTGCCACCCCCCTTCTTCTCCTATTCCCGCGCCTCCTCCTCGCCCCCCAGTGCGGCAGTACGATTCGATTGACCGCAAGCCAAGGTCGGCAGACGACCCCGTGGACCTGCAGAAGTGGCGCATCCTGAACCGCCTGCATGACAGAAACGAGACGCTCTACTATCGGGTATGGTGGATTGTTTGTGTGGGTGTGATGAAATGAAGGGGATCATCATTGTGGCCCTGCACAAGTGGCGCGTGCTCAACCGCCTGCACAACAAGAATGGGACGCTCTGCACAAGTGGCGCATGCTCAACCGCCTGCACGACAGAGGAACGAGGCATTGCATTGGACTACAGGGTATGGCGTGACTGATGAGTAAGAGCGTGACAGAGTGAGAGTGTGCGGCTCTAACCAACTGCACAGCAGACGACCATTGTGCTACAGGGTATGGCGTGACTGAAACACAAGAGTGCGTGAGTGAAACACAAGAGTGTGTGACTGAAACACAAGAGTGTGTGACTGAAACAGGTGAGTGTGTGACTGCAATGGATTGAAGGGGACCAGCATCGTGTAGCATTGCGCTACAGGCAGCAGATTTGACACAACGCTTTCACAAAACCGTTGTGCTCCAGGAGGAGAAGGGGAGGGCAGAGGGGGATAGGAGGGTGGGACAGGAAGAGGAGAAAAGGGAGGATCTGAGGGAAGAGGAGAAAAGGGAGGATCTGAGGGAAGAGGAGAAAAGGGAGGATCTGAGGGAAGAGGAGAAAAGGGAGGATCTGAGGGAAGAGGAAAGAAAAGGGAAGCAAGGGAAGAGCGCCCAGCACAAGAGCGCTCAGCACAAAGGGGCACCAGGGGAAAGCCCGCGGGAGGAGCCACAAGCCAGAGGGGGCGTACCAAGTTTACCAAGCAAGCATACCGAGCATACCAAGCATACCAAGCATCAAGCATACCTAGCAGGCATACCGAGCATACCTAGCATACCAAGCAAGCGTACCGAGCATACCAAGCAAGCATACATATATCGTCAAGGACCGTTCAGCAAGCATACAGAGCATACCAAGCATACGTAGCAAGCATACCGAGCATACCAAGCAAGCATACATATATAGGCAAGGACCGTTCAGCAAGCATACAGAGCATACCAAGCATACGTAGCAAGCATACCGAGCATACCAAGCGTACCAAGCAAGCATACCGAGCACACCAAGCACACCAAGCAAGCATACAGAGCATACCAAGCATACCGAGCAAGCATACCAAGCATACCGAGCAAGCATACCAAGCATACCGAGCAAGCATACCGAGCAAGCATACCAAGCATACCAAGCAAGCATACAGAGCATCAGCCGCTTCCCCCTCCTCTCCCTCCCCCCTGCACGCCAGATTCTGATGTGCAACATCCAGGAGATGACTCTCATTGTGTACACCCCCACTGTGGGCATGGTTCGAGCAGTATGCGTCTCCCTTCCCACCCTCTCCCCCATCCCCCTCTCAGGCTCTCCCCCGTCAGCCACTCCCCCCTTCCTCTCTCCCCCCTGCAAGCCAGATCCCGATGGAGATGTCTTGCATCGTCTACACCCCCACGGTGGGCACGGTGTGCCAGCAGTACGCCTCGCTCTTCCCTCTAATCTTTCCTACTATCTCCCTCCTTCTCTTCCCTACCCCCTGTACACTCACATCAGATCCTTATGGACAACATCCAGGAGATGTCTCGCATTGTGTACACCCCCACTGTGGGCACGGTGTGCCAGCGCTACGCCTCTCTCTTCCGCCGCCCGCGAGGCATGTACTTCAGCGCCAACGACCAGGGGGAGATGGCCAGTATGGTGCACAACTGGCCCTCCGATCGTGTAAGATTACATAATAGTGTATTGATGTTAAAATATATATATATATATGATAGGATGTACTGTAGCTTGCGGTACAGTTCCGCCTTCGCGGTATGTACTTCAGCGCCAACGACCAGGGCGAGATGGCCAGCATGGTGCACAACTGGCCCTCCGATCATGTAAGATTACATAGTAGTGTCTAAATGTATATATATAGTATAATGTGCTGTAGCGTGTGGTACAGTTCCGCCCGCGAGGTATGTACTTCAGCGCCAACGACCAGGTCAAGATGGCCTCCATGGTACACAACTTGCCGTCAGATCAGGCAATATTCCAAGGTAGAGAAATCAATACAAATATTCAATGTACTGTAGAAGTAGGTACAGTGCCGGCCAAAACCACAGCGAGATGGCCTACATGGTACACAGGTGAAGATCTGGTGTGGCGTTTTCATAGCTCTCGGATACATTTGTATGTATGTGTACTGTAGAAGGAAGTACAGTGCTGAGAGTATTCTTTACCCTTGTTCCAAGGGCATCCCTTCGGGCGGCATCCCCTCGGGCGGCATCCCCTCGGGCAGCATCCCCTTGGGCGGCATCCACTCGGGCAGCATCTGCTCGGGCGGCATCCCCTCAGGCGGCGTCTCCTTGGGCGGCATCCCTCGGGCGGCATCCCCTCGGGCGGCATCCCCTCGGGCGGCATGCCTTCGGGCGGCATTTACTCGAGCGGCAGCCCCTCGGGCGGCAGCCCCTCGGGCGGCAGCCCCTCGGACGGCATCCCCTCGGGCGGCATCCCCTGGGACGGCATCTCATAGGGTGGTATCCCCTCAGGCGGCATCCCCTCGGGCGGCAGCCCCTCGGGTGGCATCCCCTCGGGCGGCATCCCATGGGACGGCTTCTCATAGGGTGCCATCCCCTCGGGCGGCATCCCCTCGGGCGGCATCTCCTTGGGCGGCAGCCCCTCGGGCGGCATCCCCTCGGGCGGCATGCCCTCGGGCGGCATCCCCTCAGACGGCATCCCCTTGGGCGGCATCCCCTCCGGCGGCATCCCCTCAGACGGCATCCCCTCGGGCGGCATCCCCTCGGGCGGCAGACCCTTGGATGGCATCCCCTCGGGCTGCATCCCCTAGGACGGCATCTCATACGGTAGCATCCCCTAGGGCGGCATCCCCTCGGGCGGTATCCCCTCGGACGGCATCCACTCGGGCGGCATCCACTCGGGCGGCATCCCCTCGGGCGGCATCCACTCGGGCAGCATCTGCTCGGGCGCCATCCCCTCAAGCGGCATCTCCTTGGGCGGCATCCCCTGGGGCGGCATCCCCTCGGACAGCAGCCCCTCGGATGGCATCCTCTTCGGCGGCATCCCCTGGGACGGCATCTCATAGGGTGCCATCCCCTTGGGCGGCATCCCCTCGGGCGGCATCTCCTCGGGCGGCATCCCCTCGGGCGGCATGCCTTCGGGCAGCATTTACTCGGGTGGCAGCCCCTCGGGCAGCATGCCATCGGGCGGCATGCCCTCGGGCGGCATGCCCTCGGGCGGCATCCCCTCGGGCGGAATCCCCTCGGGCGGCATGCGCTCGGGCGGCATCCCCTCGGGCGGCATTTACTCGGGTGGCAGCCCCTCGGGCGGCAGCCCCTTGTATGGCATCCCCTCGGGCGGCATCCCCTGGGATGGCATCTCATAGGGCGGCATCCACTCGGGCGGCATCCCCTCGGGCAGCATCCCCTCGGGCGGCATGACCTCGGGCGGCATGCCCTCGAGCTGCCGCCCCTCGGGCGGCATCCACTCGGGCGGCATGCCCTCGGGCTGCAGCCCCTTGGGCGGCATCTACTCGTGCGGCATCCTCTCTGGCAGCATCCACTCGGGCGGCAGCCCCTGCGGCATGCCCTCAGGCGGCATCCCCTCGGGCGGCATCTCATCGGGCGGCATCCCCTCGGGCGGCATCCCCTCGGACGGCATCCCCTCGGGCGGCATGCCCTCGGGCGGCAGGCCCTCGGGCGGCATGCCCTCGGGCGGCATGCCCTCGGGCGGCAGGCCTTCGGGCAGCATCCCCTCTGGCGGCATCCTCTCGGGCGGCATCCACTCGGGCGGCATGCCCTCGGGCGGCATCCCCTCGGGCGGCATCCCCTCGGGCAGCAGCCCCTCGGGCGGCATCTTATCGGGGGGGCATCCTCTCGGGTGGCATCCACTCGGGCAGCAGCCCCTCGGGCGGCATGCCCTCGGGCGGCATTCCCTCGGGCGGCATTCCCTCGGGCGGCATCCCCTCGGGCGGCATCACCTCGGGCAGCATACCCTCGGGCTGCAGCCCCTCGGGCGGCATCCACTCGGGCGGCATCCTCTCGGGTGGCATCTCCTCGGGCGGCACCCCCTCGGGCGGCATCTCATCGGGCGGCATCCCCTCGGGGCGGCATCCCCTGGGGCGGCATGCCCTCGGGCTGCATCCCGTCGGGTGGCTTGCCCTCGGGCGGCATCCCCCGGCGGCATCCCCTCGGGCGGCATCCCCTGGGGCGGTATCCCCTCGGGCGGCATGCCCTCGGGCGGCATGCACTCGGGTTGCATGCCCTCGGGCTGCATCTCCTCGAGCGGCTTGCCCTCAGGCGGCATCCCCTCGGGCGGCATTCCTCGGGCGACATCCCCTCGGGCGGCAGCCCCTCGGGCGGCATCCCCTCGGGCGGCATGCCTTCAGGCGGCTCCCTCGGGGCGGTATTCCCTCGGGTGGCATGCCCTCGGGCGGCTTGCCCTCAGGCGGCATCCCCTCGGGCGGCATCCCCTCGGGTGGCATCTCTTCGGGCGGCATCCCCGCACAGCTGCTGCTCCCGTACCCTCCTTTCTCGTTATTTTTTTACGGTCCGTTTTTTCCGGCCATTTGGGGGAAAAAACGCCGTTTTTTTAATATAACATTTCGTTTTTTCTGTTTTTTTTTTTTTTCTAGAAAGTCTAAACGTCTGCTAGATCCGCGCATTTTGCACCCCGAAATGCGAGATCCCAGCATCTCAGTAGGCGAAATGCCAGATCCGCGGATTTCGGCGGGCGAAATGCCAGATATCCTAGCATTTTGTTCGCCAAAACGCGAGTTCCCGCACATTTGGGGGGTCAATGCCATAACCGCGCGTTTCGGCAGGCGAAATGGCAAATCCGGCCGTTTTGCAGGGTTTTTTTCTTCTTCTTCTTCTTCTTCTTCTTCTTCTTCTTTTGGTGAAAAATACGACCGTTCTTTTGCACCAGTAAAAAAAAGCAGCTCCAAACCGTTTTTAACCGTTTTATACGGCCGAAGAATACGATACCGTATTTTACGGGAAAAAATATAAAATACGACCGTTTTTTTGCACCTTGCTCCCTGCTCTAGGTCGATATCATTGTGATCACAGACGGCAGCAGAGTGCCGGGGGTGGGCGACTGGGGCGTGCAGGCGGTGCTTATAATCCCTAATGCATGCTCTCGTATGCACTTTGGTAAGGCAGGTCGACATCATAGTGATCACAGATGGCAGCAGAGTGCTGGGAGTGGGAGACTGTTTGGCGTGTAGGCGGTGTCAGTGCCCGTGGAGAAGACAAATCTCACAGCCACTGTTTCTAACCCTCCTTGTGCTCGCACTCACTTCCTGTCACAATCCTAGGTTGACATCATTGTCATAACGGACGGCAGCAGGGTGCTGGGAGTGGGAGACTGTGGCGTGCAGGCGGTGTCTGTGCCTGTGGGGAAGCTGGACATGTATGTGGCTGCTGCTGGCATCAACCCCAATAGGGTGAGTGGCAATTGGTGAGAGGGAGGGAAGAGGGAAACTTCATGATAGATAGAGCAACCACGAGAGCTAGTGTCAGTGCCTGTGGGGAAGTTGGACGCGTATGTGGCTGCTGCTGGCATCAACCCCAATCGGGTGAGTGGCAGTGGGGAGGAGAGGGAAAGACGGACCACTTGAGGAGAGACGAGGAAGGGAGAGGGAGAAAGAGAGCTAGATTCAGTGCCTGTGGGGAATCTGGACATGTGTGGCTGCTGCTGGCATCAACCCCAAGGGTGAGTGGCAGTGGGGAAAGGAGGGAGAGGAGGGGGAGGCAAGAAGTGACAGGACAGGGGAAGGCAAGGAGTGGCGGTGTCAGTGCCCGTGGGGAAGCTGGTCATGTATGTGGCTGCGGCTGGCATCAACCCCAATCGGGTTAGTGCACGGGCGGGGGTAGGAAAGAGGGGGGGAGAAAAGGGCGGACGAGGGGGGGGGGGGTGGTGGTGGTGGGGGAGGGGCTGGCGAGGGGTAAGGTGAAGGGAGGAAAATTGAAAGCTCTGGAGGAAAGGAGCAAAGTGAAACCCGGTCCTTCTTTTCCCGTCCCCCTGTCTCCTCCCCTGTCTCCTCCCCTGTTTCACCCACCCACACACCTGCCAGGTGCTGCCTGTTGTCTTTGACGTGGGCACCAACAACAGCGAGCTCATGAAAGACCCTCTCTGTAAGACTTCCAAGCCCTTTCTTCTTTGGTCGCTTCAACCCACCCACTCTCTCCCCGTCCGCCCCACTCTCTCCTGTCCGCCCCACTCCATGCTGCCTATTCTCTGTCCTTCCACTGCCCGCCTGTTCTCTGCCCCTCCACTGCCCGCCTGTTCTCTGCCCCTCCACTGCCCGCCTGTTCTCTGCCCCTCCACTGCCCGCCTGTTCTCTGCCCCTCCACTGCCCGCCTGTTCTCTGCCCCTCCACTGCCCGCCTGTTCTCTGCCCCTCCACTGCCCGCCTGTTCTCTGCCCCTCCACTGCCCGCCTGTTCTCTGCCCCTCCACTGCCCGCCTGTTCTCTGCCCCTCCACTGCCCGCCTGTTCTCTGCCCCTCCACTGCCCGCCTGTTATCTGCCCCTCCACTGCCCGCCTGTTCTCTGTCCCACCTTGCGTGCTTGTCTACCCATGACATGACATGCCCTCTCTGGCCCACTCTACCCATGACATGACATGCCCTCTCTGGCCCACTCTACCCATGACATGACATGCCCTCTCTAGCCCACTCTACCCATGACATGACATGCCCTCTCTGGCCCACTCTATCCGTGACATGACCTACCAGACCTGGGTCTGCGCCACCCGCGCATTGACGGGGAGGACTACCTGGAGCTCATCGACGAATTCATGGAGGCGGTTACCACCCGATGGCCCAAAGTGATCATTCAGGTGAGTGCGGTTACCAATTCGTCAAGTTACTAGTCACGGTGGTTACCACCCTCCCCTCTGTGCCTTTTGCCGTTTCTCTCATATTTACCTGGTTCCCTCTTTCGAGGCGCCTCAAAAGTCGTCTCTTTATCCGCGGATTTACCTTGGGCCCTCTTTCCCTGCCCTTCCCTCCCCCCCTCTCAGTTGAAGGACATGGAGTTTAAGTGGGGGCGTGTATCGATGGACCGCTGCAGGCACCAGCACCGCACCTTTCACCCCTTCCCCTCTGCCCCTCTGCCCTGTGGTCGTGCATGCATTCCCAACACCGTGCCAGTTTGAGGATATGGAGCGCAAGTGGGCGCACGTCCTCATGGACCGCTACAGGCACCAGTACCGCACCTTCAATGATGATATTCAAGGAACAGGCGGGCTCGCTGTGGCTGCCCTCACGAACGTGCTGAGGGCGCAGGAGCTGCCGCCCAGTGAATTGGCCAACACGAAAATCGTTGTTACAGGAGCAGGCAGGTGCGTATGCGGGTGATTCCAGGGTTTCGCATGTGATGCGTGCTTGTAGCTACAGGCACCAGTTCAGCAGGCTCAATGGCGACATCCAGGGCACCGGCAGGCTCGCTGTGGCTGCTCTGACCAACGTGTTGAGGGCGCAGGAGCTGCCGCCCAGTGAGCTGGCCAACACCAAAATCGTGGTCACAGGTGCAGGCAGGTGAGTCCCGTCATGAGCAGTAGGCGGATGGGCAGGGGGTGGTGGCTGTGGCTGCCGTCACCAACATGCCGAGGGCGCAGGAGCTGCCGCCCAGTGAGCTGGCCGACTCCAAAATCGTGCTCACAGGGGCAGGCAGGTGAGTTCCAGTATGAGCAGTAGGCGGATGGGCAGGGGGCGTGGGCGCTGGCTGTGGCTGCCCTCACCAACGTGCTGAGGGCGCAGGAGCTTCCGCCCAGTGAACTGGCCAACACCAAAATCGTGTTTGGCCAGGAGGCATGCAGGCAGCACAGGGCATGCAGACAGCACTTTCTGCTCGAAAGCGCTCTGCACCTTGCCCCGCGTTTTCACACGACACGGGACTCGAAAATCACGCACGTAGCTCCAATCTGCTCACCCTCCTCGTGTTTCTGTGCTCACTGCACAATCGGCCATCCCGCAGTGCAGTGCGGGGCATGCTGGTGGCGCTGCAGGAGGCCATGGTGGCGCATTTGGGTTTGGTGTATGGACTATCGCAACTCAGCTCACGTGTGTGTGCGTGCGCATTTGTTCCCATCCCAATATCCCGCAGTGCGGTGCGGGGCATGCTGGTAGCGCTGCAGGAGGCGATGGTGGGCCCCTGGTTGCCTGCCCATGCCCAAGCTTCCTTATGCTCGCGTCTCCCCCTCCCCACCCCTCCTCCCCCCGCCCCCCAACACAGTGCGGTGCAGGGCATGCTGGTGGCGCTGCAGAAGGCGATGGTGGCGCATCTGGGGGAGAGCAAGCACAACTACGTGGAGGCAGCCCGCAACTTCTGGATCGTGGATAACAAGGTGTGCAGGGGTGAGATGCGGTTGGATGCGGTGAAATGCGGTGAGAAGAGAGGAGGTAGACTAGAGGGAACGCAGTAGACAGAGCAGCATCTGGGGGGGAGCCGCCCGGAACTTCTGGATCGTGGACAACAAGGTGTGCGGGAGTGATGTGCGGCTGAATGCGGTGAGAAGAGGTGATACGAGGGTGCATGTATGGCAGCATTTGGGGGAGAGCAAGCACAACTACATGCAAGCTGCCCGCAACTTGTGGATTGTGGATAACAAGGTACGTTGGAGTGAGATGCAGTTGAACGCGGTGAAATGCGGTGAATGGAGGAGGTGACACAGCAAATGGTGGCGGGGCGTTCTGGGTGACAGTGAGCAAGCACGGTTATTTGCAGGCAGCACGCAACTTGTGCATGGTTTGTGTATTACAACTGATTCCGTTGTTCGTCCCCTTCCCCTTCCCCTTCCCCTTCCCCTTCCCCTTCCCCTTCCCCTTCCCCTTCCCCGCTCTCAGGGTCTCATGACAGCAGCGCCAAATCAGCTAAGGGCTTTTGCCCTCCGCCCCTCCCTTCTTCCTCCCTTCCCCCTCCCTTTCCCTCCCCCCCTCCCCACCCCCCCCCCTCCAGGGCCTAATGACTGAAGCCAGGAGTGCGGCGCCCAACCTCCTCAGAGGCTTTCTGCGGCCGGCAGCAGAGGCGCGGGGGGAGGGGGCCCTGCAGGAGGGAGCCCCCTTGGCGCAGGTGGTGAAGGCAGTGAAACCAGATGTGCTGTTTGGGCTGTCGGGGAAGCACCACCTGTTTGACAAGGAAGTGTTGAGGGCTGTGAAGAACAGCGGCGTAGCGAGGCCGGCTATCTTCCCCCTCTCGTGCCCTACTAGCCACTGTAAGTTGCGTTCTGGGATGGTGTGCCGTGCCCACTGGTGGGTTAAGGGGTGCAGCCGCATTTGCTGTTCGGGCTTTCGGGGAAGCACCATCTGTTTGACAATGAATTTCTGCGGGCCGTGAAGAACAGCAGCGTGGCCCGGCCGGCTATCTTCCCCCTCTCGTGCCCCACCAGTCACTGTGAGTGCTTTGAAGGCTTCTCGCAAAAACACGTCCAGTTTGGGCTGTCGGGGAAGCATCATCTGTTCGACAAAGAGGTTCCGAGGGCTGTCAAGAAGAACAGCGGCGTGGCCCGACTGGCTATCTTCCCCCTCTCGTGTCCTACCAGCCACTGTGAGTCCTTTGAGGCCTTCTCATGGCTAGCACATGCGGTTCGGGCTGTCAGGGAAGCATCATCTGTTCGACAAAGAGGTTTTGAGGGCTGCGAAGAGCAGTGGCGTGCCCCGACTGGCGGTTTTCCCCCTCTCGTGTCCCACCAGCCACAGTGTAGTGTGCCTGTCAATGTCATGCACGTTGCTTGTCGGGCATCCAACCGACAACTGACAACTGACGCAACCGGCAGACGACGCACACTCAGCCGTCTGCATGGCACAGCAGGGCGGCTCAGTGCTCAGTGCTCAGTGTGGGGCTCAGTGCTCAGTGCTCAGTGCTCAGTGCTCAGTGCTCAGTGCTCAGTGCTCAGTGCTCAGTGCTCAGTGCTCAGTGCTCAGTGCTCAGTGCTCAGTGCTCAGTGCTCAGTGCTCAGTGCTCAGTGCTCAGTGCTCAGTGTGGGGCTCAGTGCTCAGTGCTCAGTGTGGGGCTCAGTGCTCAGTGTGGGGCTCAGTGCTCAGTGTGGGGCTCAGTGCTCAGTGTGGGGCTCAGTGCTCAGTGTGGGGCTCAGTGCTCAGTGTGGGGCTCAGTGCTCAGTGTGGGGCTCAGTGCTCAGTGTGGGGCTCAGTGCTCAGTGTGGGGCTCAGTGCTCTATCCCTCCCGCTAATTTCTCTTCCTTCTCTCCTTCTTCAATGGTTGTCCCCCCCCCCACAACCAGCTGAGTGCACGGCGCAGCAGGCATTCGAAGGTGTGGGGCCAACCGAACGAAGAGGGCTTCATCCGACCTGTTCTGTCTCACTGCTCTTCCTTTGTGCCTGTGTTGCCCCCCCCTCCCCCCAAACCAGCTGAGTGCACGGTGCAGCAGGCATTCGAAGGTGTGGGGGCAACCGAACGAAGAGGGCTTCATCCGACCCGTTCTGTCGCACTGCTCTTCCTTTGTGCCTGTGTGCCCCCCCCTCCCCCCAAACCAGCTGAGTGCACGGCGCAGCAGGCATTCGAAGGTGTGGGGGCAACCAAACGAAGAGGGCTTCATCCGACCCGTTCTGTCTCACTGCTCTTCCTTTGTGCCTGTGTGTCCCCTGTCCCCGCCCCCCCGGCCCCCCCCAGAACCAGCGGAGTGCATGGCGCAGCAGGCATTCAAAGGCGTGGGGCCAACCAAACGGCCTCTTCATCCAACTCATTTTATCTCAATTCTCTTCCTTCGTGCCTGTGTTCCTCTTCCCCCCCCCCCCAACCAGCCGAGTGCACGGCGCAGCAAGCTTTCGAAGGCGTGGGGCCGAATGCCCTCTTCCTTGCGGGAGTGAACTACCCCTCCGTCCGCTTCCGTAAGCACCACTCTTCACCCCTCTCCCAACACATACCCATACCTGTTTCCTTGCGGAAGTCAGCTACCCCTCTGTCAGCTACCCCCTCTGTCAGCTACCCCTCTGTCAGCTACCCCCTCTGTCAGCTATCCCTTCTGTCATGATTTATGTTTGTGGCTTGGCTGATTTGCAAGATTTGCAGCAAATCAGATTTGCGACACTCATCCCTCCCTGCACAAGATTTGCTGCCAGTTAAGCAGTGCATCTTGACCGCGCTCCACTGCCTCTAATCCTCATTTTATTGCATCCCCGTGCGACTTTTGAGTCGGACTCAAAAGTCTCCCAGTTAACCAGTGCATCCCTGCACAAGATTTGCTACCAGTTCAACAGTCCATCTTGATCACCTTCCGCTGCCTCTAATCCTCATTTGATTGCTCCATGCGTTCCATATTTAACCACTGTCCACTCTTGACCATCGCATCCCACCCCTTCCACTCTCCTCGCATCCTTCCCTTGAACAGCTGATGGCAAGATCGGTCACTCCACCCAGGGCAACCACATCTTTCTCTTCCCTGGGTAGGCTACCAAGCACGCTTCCCCCCAGGTCTCTTCCTTCACCCCTGCTTCCACATCTTCCTCTTCCCTGGGTACGAATGCCCCACTCCACCCAGGGCAACCACATCTTCCTCTTCCCTGGGTACGAATGCCCCACTCCACCCAGGGCAACCACATCTTCCTCTTCCCTGGGTACGAATGCCCCACTCCACCCAGGGCAACCACATCTTCCTCTTCCCTGGGTACGAATGCCCCACTCCACCCAGGGCAACCACATCTTCCTCTTCCCTGGGTACGAATGCCCCACTCCACCCAGGGCAACCACATCTTCCTCTTCCCTGGGTACGAATGCCCCACTCCACCCAGGGCAACCACATCTTCCTCTTCCCTGGGTACTCTACCCTTCACCGTCCCCTGAGGCTCTTCCTGCCTTCCCTGGGAATGTTCTTCTCTTTTAGGCTCCTCAAAAATAGACTCCTCACCTCAGTGAGGGGGAACCCTGAGGGGTTAGGCTTCCCCCTCAGCTTCCTTCCTACCCTAGGCAACCACATCTTCCTCCTCCCCTGGGTAGGCCAATTAGCGGCTTTCCTAATGATTCTCCTTCTCAATCGGCCCTAGAGACACAAGGTATGCTACATAGCCCACACGCACCCACCCACCCACCCATCCACCCCCAATCCCCACACCCCAAAAGTCACCCCCCAAAACCCGCCTGTACTCCCCTTCCTCCTCAACCCAACCCCAGCATTGCAGCTGGTACACTGCAATCAGGCGCTCGTCTCATGTTGCATACACACCCACCCACACACCGCCCAACCTTCCTGTACTCCCCTTCACCCCCACCCCACCCCCAGCATTGCAGCAGGAACACTCCTATCAGGCGCTCGCCTCGTGTCGGAGGGCATGATTCACGCTGCAGCCAATGAGTGAGTGCCACATCAGCTGCCTTTGGTGGCTGCCACACCAGCTGAAATTCGGAAACACTTGTGAGGGGGACAGCTGTTCTCGTTTCCCCAACCTCTCGCCTAGCCTCGCACTCACTGCATAGCTCCTTCCACTCTCCCTCCTATGATTCTGCAGGGCATTCGATTCAGAGCTGTATAAAAAGAACCCTGCAAGTAGGAAACCGTAGTGCATGCGACAGCTGTTCCGTACTCTTTCCCCGACCGCTTGCCCAGCCTCACAGTCATTGCACAGCTCCATCCACTCTCCTCCCCGTCATCCCTGCTCCGAGTCCTTCTTCCCCCCCTCGTCCCCATACCTCCCAGGGTGGCGCACTATATCTCAGATGACGATGTCAAGAAGGGGATTCTCTTCCCGCCACTGTCCAGGTGTGACTTCTCTTACCTCAGAACTAAAAAGGATCCTCAATGCTGTCCAACAATGTCGTTCCTGATCCATACTGGAGGTGATCATCTTGGTACTACCACCCCTAGGTATTACTACCCCTAGGTTCTACCACCCCTAGGAATTCCTACCCCTAGGTACTACCACCCCTAGGTACTACTACCCCTAGGTAATACCACTCGTACCAGTGCTCCAATAGGTTTTTCAGTCCACAAGAAATGTTTCTGTAGTTCTTGTCCTTCTTTTATGTTACCTCCAAACACCGCAGGAGTTAGCATTGATTCAAACTTATATCCCCTGGCACGTGGTAGTGGGTTGCAAGGGAGCAGAGGGATACCTTTCTTTGATCTCTGCCCAAGCCCCTGAATGTGCGGACCCGTCTCCACCACCCCCTATCCCCTGCCGTCTTTTGAGGCGCCTCAAAAGCAGCCCCTGAATGTGCGGACCCATCTCCACCACCCCCCCTCCCCTGCTGTCTTTCTCCCCCAACAGCATTCGTGACATCACATTGCATGTGGCAGTGGCAGTGGCAGTGGCAGTGGCAGTGGCAGTGGCAGTGGCAGTGGCTGTGGCAGTGGCAATGGCAGTGGCAGTGGCAGTGGGAGTGGCAGTGGCAGTGGCAGTGGCAGTGGCAGTGGCAGTGGCAGTGGCAGTGGCAGTGGCAGTGGCAGTGGCAGTGGCTCGCAAGGCAGCATCCAACCCCCATCTCCCCTTCTCCCTCCTTCCCCCATGTTCCCCATGTTCCCCATGTCCTCCACTAGCATCCGTGACATCACATCACACGTGGCAGTGGCAGTGGCGCGCAAGGCAGCAGAGGAAGGCCTGGCTGATGGCATTCCCAGCCTGCATGCCGACCAGCTGCTCACTCTCTCCAAGGTACCACATGTACATGCTGACCCCATGTGGCACCATAACATGCTAACCCACTCAGAAGGTGCATACACTCTGCATACACGCTGATGGCATTCCCAGCCAGCCTGCACCCCAGCCAGCTGCTCACTCTCTCCAAGGTACGCGCATTTCTTTTGAGGCGCCTCAAAAACACTCTCCAAGGTACGCGCACTTTCGGGTGCTTGAGGTATGGCGGGCGCACGGCAAGCCGACCAGCTGCCGACCCTCTTGAGGGTGCGTACGTTTTTGGGGAGACCGGTGGAAGGAGCTGATGGCACTCCAAGCCTACACGCCGACCAACTGGTAACCATCTCAAAGGCACACACAAGTTGATTTGCGCACTGTCATAGAACCGATGGATGCTAGCCTGGCAAAGGTAGGTACGTTCTGACATGCACATTGTGTATAGAATCATAAATTGGTGGGTAGGTGCCGTTTGTGTGCTTGTTGTTTGTGATGGGCTGTTTTTTCACACGTTTCTGTTTGTTGTTCGTTCTCACTCCGAACAGGATGCTCTAAGGAAGCAGGTGGAGAAGCGCATGTGGGTGCCAATGTACTCCACACTCATCTATGGGGCTGACTTGGCCAAGTAGTAGCACTTCAGTTATGTCATGCTGTATGGTCCATCATCCACGCGAGCTTTGTCATAAACATATCAGCAAACGATTTGCAATACGTGTATCAGCCCTGCATCTTGGAGCCCATTGCAAGCACAACCACTCTATTTTGACAAAAACAGTCCAAAGTTTGCACAGTAAAAGTTTTGGTACATTCGACCACGTATGGCGTATACGAAACATATGCAGCATGTAATACCGAAGACACCTCAGGTTGCACGGGGGAACACGTGAAGGGAGGTCAAGCATCAGGTGAATCGAGTCAAGGAGGGCATATGCCACGACAGCTATCACGCCTGTGACTCATCGCATGCCCGTCCTTGCAGTGCTGCTATACCATCAACACCATAGGACAGTTGTCCACGTCATACTTGCGTGTGATTCACGTTTCTGGTTGGTGGGTTTTTTGTTCACATCATGCCCATGGTACCATCACGTCGGAGGAACCATACATACTGTGCATGTATGATGGTGCTGGTGGTGCAACGAACCAATCATTCAACGCGTTTTCCGTTTCCCATCACGTGCAGGAAAACTCGCGAAACAGCTACAGCACATCACCGTCCTTTTCGCACAGGCTCGTCGGATTGGCGGTGCCTGCCTGTTTCTGCACCGCTCATCGCGTTTCGCGTGATGGGACTGGTTCAGCGATTCCAGCATTCAGAAATCATCGTCAGCGACGCGAAACGACTGGCTGTCCGATTTCCAGAGCAGCGAATTCTGACGCCAGCGGTGAGTCGTCCGCGTTGAATTCAGACCAATCGGTGCTGTTCTTTCGCGTCACGAAACGTTCGAGATAAGGCTTGAATGGTCTGGAAGCAAGAACCGTGATTTCAGGTCGCCCGCGTCGCCAAGCAACATCGCACGGAGCTCCCAAACAGTTCACCCAAACCGCCCCGGTCGCCAAGCAACATCGCACGGAGCCCCCTCCGCTCTCCTTCCCTCCCATCCCTTTCTTGGGGTTTCGCAGCAGCATTTCTTGGGGTATCTGGCCTCATTCTTCCTGCACAGTTTTCGTTTCTTGATTTCGTTTCTTCGGCACTCCCGTGGTTCGGAGGGACGAGAGCGGACTGCTGACGTCTCGCGAGGCGGTACCTTGGGTCTCATCTGGCTGTGAGCAATAAGCCGTGATGGTCTCTTGGTCAGGTGTCCGTGATTTGTCCATGGCGTCTCGTGTTCCTGAGTCCTCTCGTCGTTCTATTTCGACCGTATGGCTTCACTGGTCGTTTGGTTGAGGTGACCGTCGAGTCGTCAGTGACCGTGACGTCGTTTACTTCCCGTCGTTTTGAGACTCGTGAAACTCGGTTCTCGGAGACAAGCCGGAAACTACTACGTCCTCGACTATTACGTCTCCCGTATGGGTCGTCGACTATTACGAGGGCTTGTCACCTGTTATGCCCTGGGGTCGCTATTTTTTATTTATTTCCGTACACGCTCGTTCGAAGCTGTTGGAGGTTGAGAGACCGTTTCGCATCAACGAGATGAGACTCCGATGTTACCGTTAAAGAGTTGTCGCTTGGTTGCGTGATACCGTCGAGAAGAGCTGCCGGTTCGTTACAATGAGTGATACGCTGAGCATTCCGAGCTCTACGCTTGATGAGGAAGGTCGTCGGTTCGCTGAGCTATATTCCGAGCCATACGTGTTCGAAGTCGAGTGCCTTTACTTAGCCCTGTGGTGGAAGGTTACGGTAGAAAATTGTGTTAATTGTTCTATATATACGGTAGACGCTGGTATATATAGGACGTGTATAAATCTATTCGATGTATCCGCCTGTGGAGCGTCAGGTTATATGATGTACGGACGATGTATATTTCCCTGCCTATGCTTCGATTGCAAGATATATATGCTTCCTGTATATGCAGGTCGCCAAAAGCTGGACTAGTCGGCGCCCCCTTGCGGGGTCAATTGTTTTTCCTGCGTTCTTTCGTTCCGGATTGTATGAGCTAAGCAGGATAAAACAGGATCTCCAGGAAAGCTAGTTGTGTGGGGAGTTGATTGAAAACAAGGAAAGTCGTCGCGTGCATGTCAGTGTCCATTTCTGCAAGTCTGAAGAGAAGCGAAGTTGTAGGGCGGTGTGGATTGCTGGCTCTTGTTCTGCCGTCGCATCCGTTCCTGTGCTTTACAGGATTCGACTTCGGACATCCTTCCGCGGTTTACTTACAAGAGCGGGCAACTTTGTAGCAGGTCCCTTGGTTTCCGTGTTTCGTTTCCGGTCCTCCTCTGACAAGAGTGCACCTTCCCAACCTCATCTTCCATAGGGGCTCTGGAACTTCCTCCTTTGCTGTCCAGCCTTCGCGTCTCGCCCGCTTCCTCGCCGGCTTGCCCCCCTCCCTCCCATCCCCTTCGGGGGCTCTGGGACATTCATTCTCCTCCGCCTCTCCCCCCCGGAGTTTGTTCTGACTGGCTGTGATTGCCCTAACAGCAGCGCAACAGGAGGTCCCTGGGGTATCTTCTGTCAGCCAACGTCGTTCACTCCGAGTGTTGTGGTTGCTCACAGAAGTTTTGGCATGTCCGCTCCGCTCATCCTTGTCCAGTCTGCCAAACGTCCGCTATGCGCAACCTAGTCCAGCTTGCCTAACCTAGTCCGCTCTGCCTCGCTCTTAATTCTCCGTACTGCGTTTTGGATTCGTGTCGACTCTCGTGTCGTCTCGCTGCTTCGGCTTGTCCTCCCCTCCCCCCTCCCCCATCCCCTTCGGGGGCTCTGGGGCCTCAATTTTTTTTCCGTATGGTCCCGTTGTAGATGCTTTGTTGCCCTGCCAGCAGCACAGCAGGCTGAACTCCCGCTCGTCGTACGTCGCGAACAAGTCTGAGCCTCGGAATGGGCTGAAGAACCCGACGGGTAGCTGTAGTCGAGATTCGCTGTCGCTTCTCATGAATTCCTGTCCTTTTTCCTCCTTGACTGTCTCCCGTCCTGCGCCCGAATCAAGTTTCCTCCGTTGTAGGGGTCAAGGTTGCCGGTGTCTCCCCTCCCCTCCCCATCCCCTTCGGGGGCTCTGGGGTTTCAGTTTCGTTTCTCCTTCCTGTAGTCTGTTCCCTGCCAGCAGCAGACAGCTCCAGAAAGACTTCCGAGTAGCCTTCCGAGTCAGCAGCATATGGTGTCCAGCCGACGGAACGATCGGGTAGCTGTAGCTGGAAAACCTTATCGTGTATAACCTCCACTCCCTTCGTTCCTCTTGTGTCGACTGATCTTTCACCGTCTAGGCACCCGATTAGGCTTCTTCGCTTGCTATTCGTCGGTGTCCGGCTTGCTGCCTCGTTCCCCTCCTTCCCCATCCCCCTGGGGGGCTCTGGGGTTTCAGTTCCCCCCCTCCTCTGCCCCTCTAGTCCCTTTGTTGGCTGTGTTTGCCCTGCCAGCAGCACAGCAGGTTGTGGTTGAGTAGCTCTCTAACTACATCGGTCTTACGGCCAGCTCCGGCTGCTCAGAAACTGACTGCTGACTGCTCAAGAAAGGGACACGGAATGGTGTGGTCGATTGTATGTACCAGCCTGGCGTTACTCCATTTTAACTACCGTTTTCTCCTTAACCCTTCCTACGTTGCGTTGCGTTAGACCATTCTCTGGTTGACCCTGCGCGTCGGTGTAGGCGTTCCCTGCTTCCCCCCCTCCCCACCCCATCCCCGTTGGGGGCTCTGGGGCTAAAAACTCCTGTTTCCTCCGCAGTCCCGCCCTCTTTGCTGTGGTTGCCCTGCCAGCAGCACAGCAGGTTCTCACACGCAAGCATGTGTCAGCCCCAGATTCGCCAAGCAGTCACGGATTGAACGACTGGGTACCTGTAGTTGCGAAGCTTACACTATACTTTTAAGTCTCTCTTTCCTAGCGTGTTGCGTCCCTAGCGCAGTCTCAGGCGTAGTCTCGGTGTTGTAGGCTCGGTCTGGTTCCCCTCCCCTCCCCTCCCCTCTCCTCCCCATCCCCTCCGGGGGCTCTGGGGTTTCAGTTCCCCTCTCCCTCCTCCCTTGTCCCTGCCGCTAGTAACCTACGCATCCTTACAGGTACTTCGACAGCAGCACACGCTGAGGGCTCTGCGTCCAAGTAACGCAACCCTGTTAGGTACCCCACAGACCGGTGGTTCATTCGATTGGTTCATTCGAATTGTTTCCCATCTGTAAAACTGGTGGTCGCTCCGTTGGTCCCTAGCCCGTGTCGCTATCCGTATCCGTTTTGAGCCGGCTCTTTTCTTATCTTGCAGTGCACCTGTGGTCTTCCTGGTTGGCGTTCCTCCTCCCCTCCCCTCCTCCCTGGGGCCCCCTGGCCCCATAACCTGTCTCTCTCCTTCCTCCTAGCCACACTCCGTCCGTCCCCACAGGCTGCTTGCCTGCACGTCCCGCTTCGGTCGTCCTATCCGTCTGCATGTGCTCCCGCCGCGTTTGCTCCCTGCCAAGGTTCCTGCGCCTCCCGTCCAATCCCGCAGTGCTTCAGACCTCGGTGCTTCGGCCTTGCGTCCCTCAGTCCTATTTTCGTGCCTCTTCGCCTCCTTGCCTCTTCCAGCGTTACTTTCGGTTGGCGTTTCCCCCTCTCCCCCCCCCCCCCCCCCCCCCCCCCGGGGTCCCCTGGCCCCATAACCTGTCTCTCTCCTTCCTCCCTCCTGTAGCCACCCGCGTCCGTTCCCTCAGGTTGCGCTTCCTGACCCGTGCCCTTGTCTATCCGTCCGCGTTCGTTCTGTCATCGGTGCTCCTCCCCCTCCTGGTTGGCGCTCCTCCTCTCGCTCCTGGTTGGCGCTCCTCCTCTCGCTCCTGGTTGGCGTTCCTCCTCCCGCCTTTTCTGCTCGCTTTCCTGCTCCCTGCCAAGGTTCCCGCCTCTCCGTTTCGAACTTGCAATGCTTCTGACCTCGGCGCTTCTGCCTTGCCTCCTTTCCGCCTTGCGTCCTTGCCTCCTCGACATTCCTTTTGGTTGGCGTCCGCCCCCCTCCCCTCTCCCCCCCGGGGGCCCCTGGCCCCATAACCTGTGTGTCTCCTCCGTCCTCCCGCCGTTAGCCTCACTGCGTCGGTTCCCTCAGACTGGGTCCGTCACCTTCCGCGCTGCTGTCTCCCGCCTCATCTGCTCGCGAGCGTCTCAAGGTTCCTGCGTCTGACACTCTGCCGTCCACTAAGCTTCAGTCGTCTCTGCTCTCGCGTCTGTTCCCAGTCAGAAGGTCCTCCGTCTTCCATCCAATCCTGCAGTGCTTCAGACCTCGGTGCTCTTGCCTTGCGTTCCATGCCTCTTGGTTGGCGTTCCCCCTCTCCTCCCCCCCCGGGGCCCCCTGGCCCCATAACCTGTGTCTCCTCCGTCCTCCCCCCTGAAACCACAATCCGTTGATTCCCCAGGGCGCTCTGTCAGCCTATCCGTTCATGTATCCAGTCTCGTGTCTCTGCTCTCTCCCGCCTCATCTGCCCGCGCGCCTGCCTTTCCTCCAAGGTTCCTCCGTCTCTGTTGATCTCCAATGGTTCAGACTGGTTCAGAGTGGTTCAGACTGGTGCTTCTGCCTTCGTTGATTCCGTCTTCTCGTTGGCGCTGGTTACCTAGCTGGTTGGCGTTTCCCCTCGTCTCTCCCTCCCTTCCCCCCGGGGCCCCCCTGGCCCCATAACCTTTGTCTCCTCTCGTCTTCCCTCCCCTGCCGTAGCCACACCCTTCCCTCGTACAGGGTGCGCGCCGCGCCGGTTTTCTCATCCCTCTTCCATCCTGCCGCGTCTGTGTCTGCGTTCTCTTCTACCGCTGCTCGCGCTACTGCTCCTGCTGAAGTTCTGCATGTCTCTACTCACGTTCGCTGCACCTTCTTACGTCTACTCTTCCGTCCACGCGTCTACACTTTCGTCTACACGTGATTCCTTCCGTCTACTCTTCCGTCTACTGCTGTCTATTACCGTCGCTGCACATGACTACTCCCGTCTACATGCGTCTACATCCGTCTATCTTTTTTCACTTAGCCTCCGTCGGTGTGCTGTGAGATTTCAGTCCGGTTGCGCACTTGGATTGGTTATGGTGTTGGCATCTCCGCATTGCCCTTCGCATGCTTTAGGCAGATGAGGAAGATGGTGCAGATTGTGTGGGCGTGTGACAGGACGGTAGTTTAGGAAAGTGGTTGGCGTTGTATGTGGCGTTGTATGTTGCTCCGTTCTCTTGCCTGTGCAGGACTCGGAGCGGGGACGTCTGATACGCGAGTGCTTGGCTGATTTTTGGGGGCAACTATGCGAGTGGCGAGGCGGGAGAGCCTTCTCCGGCGTGCAGAGCGAGCGGGGTGTAATGGTTGAGGTGTTGCTGTGTCTGCCGTCAGCGCGTCTGCCGGTACAACCGCGGGCAGCTGAATCCAGACACACATGCGGGTCGGCGGGTGGCGAACCGGTTGCGGGACTTATTTGAACGAGTAACAGAGGCGCGAGGGAAGTCTGTTTCCCGATGTTAACGCGTGAAGTGGCGGCTGTGTCGGCGTAAAACGCAGGGTGCGAGGACGAGGAACGGGTGGGGCGGAGGCGAACGGGAGCGGTATTGAGTGGCGCGTGTCCGCTGTCTGCACGTCTGCTGGGACAACCACAGGCGGCAGCGGGAGACACCCGCCAACCCCCCCTTTTTTGCAGGAAAGGAAGACAACCAGAGGCGCTGTAGGGATGAAACAACAGCTCGAGGAATAAACGCGCGTGGGGCGAGGAGGGGCGGAAGCGAGAGGCGCGTGTCTGCTGTCTGCACGCCTGCTGGGACAACCAGAGGCGCTGATGGGAAGACACGTGGAGGCGAGTGCGGGACGAGAGACGAACGCGCGAGGTGTGAACGCGCGTGGACGGGATCGAGCGGCGCATGTCTGCTGTCTGCAAGTCTGCTGGGACAACCACAGGCTGCAACGGGAGACACCCGCCCACCCCCCCTTTTGTTTGCAGGTTTAGAAACGAGAGCGAGAAGGAATACTAAGGGCGCTGATGGGAAGACGCGTGCGGAGGTGTATGCGAGGGCAGGACGAGATATAAACGCGAGGGGTGAACGCGGGAGCAGGGCGAGAGGCGGGTGAGCGCTGCGTGTGTCTGCCGTCTGCACGTCTGCTGGGACAACCAGAGGCGCTGATGGGAAGACGTATCGGCACGAAGAGTGAACGGCGTGGGGGACGAGGAGTGGCGCGTGTCTGCTATCTGCATGTCTGCTGGGACTACCGCAGGCGCAGATGGGAAGACTCGTGTGGAGGTGTACGGCAGGGCGAGGGATGCGAGTTAGCGGCGCGTGTGTCTGCTGCCTGCACGTCTGCTGAGACAACCGGAAGACGCAACGTCAAGACACGAAGGGTGAACGGCGTGTGAACCGCGAGGAACGGGATCGAGGGGCGCGTGTCTTCTGCCTGCACGTCTGCTGGGGCAACCGGAAGACGCAACGGCAAGACACGAAGGGTGAACGGCGTGTGAACCGCGAGGAACGGGATCGAGGGGCGCGTGTCTGCTGCCTGCACGTCTGCTGAGACAACCGGAAGACGCAACGGCAAGACACCCGCCCACCCCCTTGTTTTTGCAGGTTGAAACTGTCTCTCTGCACGTCTGCGAGGACAGTCGTAGCTGAGTGGCGCGTGTCTGCTGTCTGCACGTCTGTTGGGACAATCGCGGGCGCTGATGGGAAAACACGCGAGGATGGAGCAGCGAGGGCTCAACTTTCGTGGGGCGTGGAGGGACGGGATCGAGTGGCGCGTGTCTGCTGTCTGCACGTCTGCTGGGACAACCGCGGGCCTGCTGCAGAAAGACACCCCACCACCTCCCCCGTTTGCAGGTTTTGAAGGGTCGAATCGAGCTCTTAGGGTTTGGTAATCGGCGTTTGCACGGCTCGGCGTCTGCATGTCTCCGCGGGACGGGTGGTTCGGTGCGCGGATGTTGAACGGGCATGAGAAGGGGAATCGAGTGGCGTGGCGCGTGTCTGCTGTCTGCACGTCTGCTGGGACAACCACAGGCCTGCTCCAGGAAGACTCCCCACCACCTCCCCTTATTGCAGGTTCTGAAGGGTCGAATTCGCAGGGTGTGGGAATCGGCGTCTGCACGGCGGTCTGCACGGCGGCGTCTGCACGCGTTGGAGTGACGGGTAGCTTGGTGCGCGGATGGTGAACGGGAGGGGGCAATATAGTCGGAATCGACTGGCGTGGCGCGTGTCTGCTATCTGCACGTCTGCTGGGACAACCACGGGCTGCTCCAGGAAGACTCCCCACCACCCCCCCTTTTTGCAGGTTCTGAAGGCTCAAGCGGGTGTGTCTGCACGGTCTTTTGCACGTCTGCACGTCTGCGCGTCGTCTCCTGCACGTCTGCACGTCTGCTCGTCGTCTTCTGCACGTCTGCACGTCTGCGCGTCGTCTTCTGCATGTCGGCATGGTTGCTGGAACAGCTCAAGGGTGGTGGTTTTTGCGGGCTTGAGAGGACGGGTCTCCGGTGGGATGATGGTACCCTCGGTGGGCATGCGGTGTATGCGAGGGGTGAGCTCGTGGGGCGAACACGGTTGGGAGTGGGGGAGCGACCTGCGCGTGTGAGCTGTCTGCACGTCTGCTGGGACATTACCAGAGGCTGGGACACCCGCCAACCCCCCTTTCATTTGCAGGTTGAAGCGATAATGGTGGCGTAGGTGACACCTGTGCACGTACGCGTCGAGGTGCTCGGCGGACGGGCGCTTGGTGAGCGGTTGAGGGGCGAATGGGCGCGGGATCGAGCGCGCGATGGGTGTGTCTGCTGCTCTACACGTCTGCTGGGACAACCACAGGCGCTGGTGGACAAGACACCCGAGGATGCTTGTTGAAGGGGTGGTGGTTGAGTGGTGGTGGAGTGGTGGTCGAGAACCGGTCTGTTGCGGTTGTGTCTGCACGTCACAGCGGGATCGAGGGGGCCGTGTGTCTGCTGCGACTGCACGTCTGCTGGGACAACACCACAGGCTGCAAGGGGAAGACACGCGCCAAACCCCCGCTTTTCTTGCAGGTTTAGGAAGAGAGCGTGTGAGTGGGAGACACGGGATGCGAGTGACAGCCGCAGGTGATGCGCGGGTAGGCGCACGACGGACGGCGTGGCGGACGGCATGGGCGGACGGCATGGGTGGACGGTGTTCTGACGAGCGGGCGACGTTCGGGTGGGAGATCTACGGGCGTGCACGAATGTGGGGCGGGCGGTTGAGCGACGCGTGTCTGCTGTCTGCACGTCTGCTGGGACAACACCACAGGCGGCGACGGACGAGACCCGCCAACCTCCCCCTTTCGCAGGTTTCAAGAGAGGCGGACGGCTGTAAGGACGCGGGAGGAGCGTCGTTGCGTTTGCGCACTCAGCACGTCCGGCGGTGCAACCTTGGTAACTGAGAAGCGATGGGACGTGCGCGGTGAATGTATTTATAACTATAAGGACGCTGGAGGAGGGTTGTTGTGTCTGCGCACTCAGCTCGTCTGGCGGTGCAACCACGGGCGGTGAATGTACTCTGCAACTGAAGGACGCCGGAAGAGCGTCGTTGCGTCTGCGTACTCAGCTCGTCTGGCGGTGCAACCACGGGCAGCTGAGGCGCGGTGGGCGGTGAATATCTCAAACGGCTTGCGTGAGCGGGCGCATGGCGAGCGGGGTGGGTGCAGACGAGCGCTGGCGTGACGGGTATGGGCTCGAGTGTGGTGTATATGTGGCTGCTGGTGCACAGGGGAATCACCGGGCACACGGGGGCGAAGGATGGTGGAAGGGCGGGGACGGGTCGGCGGGCGGGCGGGTACCGCGGAGCGGATGGAGGGAGGGCGGGCGCGGGAAGGACGGGCGTGGTTTGACCGCGTGTGCGGGAGAAGCGTGAGGCGGGTGCTAGCATGAGCGGGTGTGCGGCTGAGGCGCGCGGAAGGGGGTGGACTTGGGCACGTGCGTGGGACGAGCTGTGGAGTGGCCACTCAGAGGCAAGGGCTTTCTTAAAGAGACGGTTAAGAGGGGCGGGCATTTTGAGAGGCTAACTAAGGTGGATGGGAGCTGACGTGTAGGGAAAGGTAAAGGAGGAATGAGGAGTTCAGAGAAGCGGGTAAATAGAGAAACAATTTGAGTCGGTTGTGGAGCTGACGGTGCCGGGGAAGGTAGTTTAGCGAGTCTGCAGCAGAGTCGGCTTGAACGGGGGGGAGGAGGTTGTATGCTAGTATTTGGTCTGAGCTAAAGTAGAGGAGCGGGGATCAGGAGGTGGCTGTAGTAGTCGTAGTGAAGAATTTTGGCGAGGGGTAGCCTTTTTGAAGTTAGGGTTTTGCGGCGACCTGTAGCAATGGAAGCGTGGAGAGATGAGAGAGCAGATGATGAGAGATGAGGTGAGTCGCGCGTGTGTTTGCAGGGTATTTCCGAGAATTCTCTAAAATACCCTGCGAATTCTCTAAAATATCTTGCAAATTCTCAAAAATACCCTGCAAAGATGAGAGCAGATGATGAGAGGTGAGGATACGGTTATGGGTAGATGGGTTGTCCGGATACAGGTTGAGGGAAGAGGTGGTGGTAGAGACACACGTAGCTGGTAGAGCGGGTCTGGGTTTACAGAGTTGTGAGGAGAGGGAGGGGGTGTGGGCGATGGACGGTGAGCGGTGGCGCAAGGTGGAGGAGACGGGGAAGCAGACTAGGTGGTTCGACTAGGTGTCCTGTGGAAGGGGACAGTACGGGAGTGATGGCTTGGAGAGGGGATAGACGGGGAAAGCAGTGCTGGTGGTGGTGGTGGTGGTGTAGGGGACATCATAAAGTGCTATAGTGTTGATGGTGCTGATGGTGGTGGTGATGGTGGTGGTGGTGTAGGAGACATCATAAAGTGCTGTAGTGTTGATGGTGCTGATGGTGGTGACGGTGGTGGTGGTGGTGGTGGTGGTGGTGGTGGTGTAGGAGACATCATAAAGTGCTATAGTGTTGATGGTGCTGATGGTGGTGGTGGCGGTGACGATGGTGGTGGTGGTGACGGTGACGGTGACGGTGGTGGTGGTGGTGGTGGTGGTGACGGTGGTGGTGGTGGTGGTGACGGTGGTGGTGGTGGTGGTGACGGTGGTGGTGGTGGTGGTGACGGTGGTGGTGGTGGTGGTGACGGTGGTGGTGGTGGTGGTGACGGTGGTGGTGGTGGTGGTGACGGTGGTGGTGGTGGTGGTGACGGTGGTGGTGGTGGTGGTGACGGTGGTGACGGTGGTGGTGGTGACGGTGGTGGTGGTGGTGGTGGTGACGGTGGTGGTGGTGGTGGTGACGGCGGCTTCTGGCGGTGGTGGTGGTGACGGCGGCTTCTGGCGGTGGTGGTGGTGCTGGCGGGACCTGGCGATGGTGGTGGTGGGTGCAGCAGGTTTCTTCCTTGATCCCTTATGATGTCTCCTACAGGGGCACCGCTGGTTGTGGATTCGGTACTGCTTTGCGTCGGCTGAAGTCAACACCATGGAAGCGGGTAGCTGTGTAGCGGGTGTTCTGCATTGGTGCGTCTTGCTCGGGTATCTCGTGGCGGGTACGGCCATGCTTGGTCTGCTCAAGTCAACACCAGGCAAGCGGATTGTGGAGCTGTGTAGCGGGACTTATGGCAGTCTTCTGTCCGCATTGGGTGTGCCTTTCTCTCATAGCTGTTGCCTCTGTTGCTGCTGCTGCTGCTGCTGCTGCTACTGCTGTTGCTGGGAGGTCTTCGGTTCCTGCTCTTGTTCTTCGCTGCTCTGTAGCCGCTGCTGCTCTACCTCTGCTGCTCTCTGATGCTGTAGCTGTAACCCTCCTATCACCAAACTTCGATATCTCCCGAGCCATCTTCCTGTGACGTGAAGCCTAATGCCATTCCTCGACCTTCAAACGTCACATTTGATCTCATCCCCGGCCAACTTCCTCTATCCGACTGTACGCCATTCCCCCATTCGACAATTCCTTGATTCGACAAAATTCCTCCAACTTGACGCCATTCTTCGATTTGACAATTCCTCCAACTTCCTCAATTTGGCAAAATTCCTTGATTCGACAAAACCCTTGATGGACTTGACACCATTCCTCGATCGACTTGACATACTGATGGGTGTATAGTACTGGGGTCTCGTACCTTATGGTCTTGTATCGGTCCTGTACAATCGTTGTCTCTTTTTGGGCTGTCGGGGGGTCTTGTTGTCGTACAGTCGTGGTCTTATCTGTCTCTTACTGCTGTGGTCGTACTGCTGTGCGCATAATACCGGGGGGCCTCGTACTGATCTTCTACCGGTCGTGCAATCGTGGTCTTCTGTTGGGCTGTCGCGGTCGGTCTTGTTGGTCTCATTGGTTTCTTACTGCCGTGGCTTCTTACTGTCGGTCGCCTGCTGTGGTCGCATACTACTGTGGTCTAACTACCATGATCATTTGCTGGTCTCGTACTACCCTTGTCCAAGTGGTCTCGTTCTACCTGTCTCAAAAGTACTGAGGTCTCGTTCGACGTGTACCAATACTACTGAGGTCTCGTCCTAGGTGTCTCAACTACTGAGGTCTCGTTCTAGCTATTTCAAAACTATTGAGGTGTCGTTCTATCTCAAAACTACTGAGGTCTCGATCCAGCTGTCTCAAAACTACTGAGGTCTCGTTCTATCTGTCTCAATACTAGTGAGGTCTCGTTGTAGCTATTCCAAAACCAATGAGGTCGCGTTCTAGCTGTCTCAACTACCGAGGTCTCGATCAAGCTGTCTCATGCTACTGGGGTCGACCATCCATTCATCACCCCCACGATCATCTTCCAGCTGCTCCCTCGTCGGCCTTCACTGTCAGCCATCTGCCTCGAGCATTCGCTGTCACCATTCCTTAGTGGCCATCTGCTGTCACCATTCCTTCGTGACCATTCCCTTGCCACCATCTGCCGTCACCATTCCTTTGTTGCCATCTGCTGTCACCATTCCTTCTCATCACCTGTCTTCAGCATTATCCATCGCCTTTCTCCCTTGTCAGCCATCCTCCTTCACCATTCTCTAGCACCCTTCCTTTGCCACCATCTGTCGTCACCATTCCCCGTGAGCCGTTCACCATCAGCTTCGCCATCGGCCCACCTGCATCTGCGTGCTTTCTACTATCCACCTTCGTTTGACCATATCTTCACCTCACTAGTCTCTATCCACCTTCGTTTGACCATATCTTCACCTCACTAGTCTCTATCCACCTTCGTTTGACCATATCTTCACCTCACTAGTCTCAATCCACCTTCCTCTTACCGCGTCTTCATCGCACCAGCCCCACCTTACTCTCGTTCATCGTCAAGCCAATTCCTGTTAGCCTCCACCACTTCCCACGTACCTGCACACATCTGCACTGCTCCGCACCGCTCTGCACCACGAGTTTGTTCTGCTGTTGGAAAGAGTCTACATGGGTCGTTCCATCTTATCTAGTTGGCAAGTGCACGTCTGTACGGGTTAGTCTGCACGGGTCTGCTCGGGGTTTAGTCTGCACGGATCTGCTCGTAGGGTCTGCTCGGGTGTTTGCACGGGTCTGCACGGGTCTGCACGGGTCTGCACGGGTCTGCAGGGGGTCTGCATGGGGGTCTGCTCGGGTCTACACGGGTCTGCAGGGGGGTCTGCTCGGGTCTGCACGGGTCTGCAGGGGGGTCTGCACGGGGGTCTGCATGGGTCTGCACGGGGGTCTGCATGGGTCTGCACGGGTGGCTGCACGGGTGGCTGCACGGGTCTGCACGGGTCTGCACGAGCCTGCACGGGTCTGCACGGGTCTGCACGGGTCTGCACGGGTCTGCACGAGCCTGCACGGGTCTGCACGGGTCTGCACGAGCCTGCACGGGTCTGCACGGGTCTGCACGAGCCTGCACGGGTCTGCACGAGCCTGCACGGGTCTGCACGGGTCTGCACGGGTTTGCTCGGGGGTCTGCTTGGGTCTGCACGGGGCTCGTCTGCACATCAGAGGCGCTCGTTCCTAGTAGCTGCTGGTGCTAGTTGCCGCTCGCGTTGCTGATCGCTTCCGGGGTATCTCGTCTTGGTGTCGTCTGGTGAATTCGCAGTGGCAGGGGGACTGCAATTGCGGCCTGAAGGGAGTGGGGAAGTCTGAAGGGAGTGCAAGAGACAAGGGAAGCTCTGTCGAAGTCTTGACGGCCAGGGCAGGTAGTTGTGGCGTTCATTTTCGGCTGGTGCCGTTGCGGTTGAAGTGTACTCTGGTGTTCTGCGTGTGGTGCTGCGTGTGGTGCTGCGTTGGCGTGTGAACATTCAGTGGCATGACAGAGGGCGTGGCCGAAGTGCACATGAGAAGCAGGTGGCTGGTGTAACCAGGTCTGGTAGCTGTGGCGTCCAATTTCGGCTGGTGCTTTGTGGTGGCGGTTCTCCTTTTCTCGTCGTGTGGTGGTGGTGCGCTGGTCGCGTGTGCATATGCAGCGGCAGGATTGATGCTCAAGTGGTGCAGGAGCGAAGTAGGAGGGGCTTTCACTCCCACCGCAGGTAGCTGTAGCGTTCGTTCCCAGCTCGTGCTGTCGCAGTTGCCGTTGCGGTTCTCCTTGTGCGTGGTGGTGGTTGCAAGCAGAGCACTCAAGGGCTGAGAAGAAGCAGAAGGGGGCTTTCACTACCTCAGGTAGCCAGCTGTAGCGTTCGTTCCTAGTTGCTGTCGCCGTTGCCGTTGCGGTTCTCCTTGTGCGTCCTGGTGGTGGTGGTGGTTGCAAGTGCAGAAAAGAAGCAGAAGGGAGCTTTCACTACCAGCTCAGGTAGCTTTAGCGTTCGTTCCGAGCTCGAGCTGTTGCAGTCGCTGTTGTGGTTTTCCTTGTGCGTGGTGGTGGTGGTGGTGGTGCTCGCAAGCAGATCAGTCAAGTGCTGAGAAGAAGCAGAAGGGAGCTTTCACTACCAAAGCAGGTAGCTGTGTTGCGTTCGTTCCTAGCTGGTGCTGTTGCAGTTTCGGTTCTTCTGTTATGCCTGGTGGTGCGTTGGGCGCGTGTGTATTTCCAGTGGCAAGACTGCATGGCTGCAGGCAGATGAAGGATGAGGGTAGAAGAGGCATTCGCCAAATCCGGCAGGTAGCTGTAGGCGCTCGTTTTCGGCTGGTGCGGTCGGTGTGTGTAGAAGACAAGACGGAAGGAGTTTACAAAACTTGGGCGGTTAGCTGCAGTTCGTTCCTGGCTGTCGCTGTCGCGGTTGTGGTTCTCCTGGTGTGCTGTGGTGTGTTGGCCGCGTGTGGAAATCTCCGCGTGACAGTTTAACTGCAAGCAGACTGGAGAGGAGGGTAGAAGAGAAGACGAGAAGAGAAGCAGGTTCTGCCTTCGATCAGCCAGTACTCAGGTGTGGCCGCTTTGGCTAGTGCAGCTTTTCTACGCGTTCGGATTCGGTGCTGGGTGGTTCTGTGTGGTTCTGCATGGTGCGGCAGGAAAGGCAGCAGGAGGGGCATTCCAAGCGACAATAGGCAGAGCAGGTTCTTTCAATCAATTGGAGGCTGGGTGTGGGCGCCGGTGTCTTGCAGCATTTTGAGATGATTGGGGATATCATCAAGAGGGGCTCAAAGTTGCGTGCAACAGCAGCAGGCGAGTTCATTAGCAGCTTTTCACTTGGTCGCTGTCCGGTCCTCTGGTGTGCTCTTTCTGCGGTGTGTGGGGCAGGAGTGGGGAGAACATGTATTTTGGCAGCAGCAGCATCTGGCAGGCTTTCTGCAGCGGTGACATCAGCAGGCAGGTGTGGGTGCTTTGGTGCTTGCAGCATTTCTGGCTTGGTCTCCGTTTGGTTCTGTGGTGTTCTGTTTCTGCGGTGTTAGGCAGGAGTGGGGACGATGGGAGTTTTCTCGACAGCAGCAGCAGCGGTCCGCGTTGATTGTCAGGTGTGGGTGCTCTTTTTGGCAGCATTTCCTTTTCCGTCCTTCGGCAACGATTGGTGCTGTGTGGTGCGGGTGTTGGGGGCAGAAGATGAGATATAGTCGGGCAAAAGAGAAATACGAGAGATGAAGCAGAGATGAAGGCAAGAGTGGCAAGAATGGCCTGCACGGGAAGAGAAGAGGCAGTGGAGGTGATACTGGAATGAATGGTCAAGAGATTAGTGGTGCGGCTTCAACGAGCGTCTTCCACCAGAGATAAGTGGGTAGCTGGCTATGAGGGTGGGAGTGGGTGCAGTATACCAAGAGAAGCTGGAGGAGGAGCAGATGAAGGACAGAAGGGAGAAGCCAGTGAGCAAGAAGCAGTAGAGGTAGCATCAGCACAGAGGCTTAAGGGTTGAACTTCAGCTTGACACCTTCACAGCAAGGTAAGAGGGTAGCTGGTTCGCACAGTGATGGACACAGGTTAATTGACGGTCACACGCTGAGAGGTGGGAGTAGAGTAACAGCAAGTCGAAGCCGAGAGGGGTAGAGTAACAGAGATGGGACACACTGGTTAATTGACTCACACGCTGAGTAACATATCACCCTGAGTATTGGAGGGTAGAGTGTGAGGAGTATGGTAGCAGGGTGGGGCTGGGAGAGCACTGAACAGCAGAATGAGGGCAGTTAAAGAGTAAAATGGAGGTTAGAAGAGGTGTGGTGTCAGAGTCTAAGGGGAAAAGGTTCGGAAGACGAGGCTACGTAGGAAGAGAGGACAGAAGTAGATGTTACTATCACCCTCCAGAGGTATTGCCCTGTATATACTAATGCCCTCTCCCTTCACAGCCAGACGCTTTTATGAGATGGTTAACCAGCCTAGCGCCCTCTACATAAGACTATACCCCCTCTGCCTCCTTCCGTACTAGATTCGGACGCTTTTACCAGTCCCTTATAATCTTCCTAAATCCTCCCCAATCCCATCCTAATTTTCCCTTGTGACCCAGGTATTATCAGTCCCACCCTATCCTATCCTTCCGTGTCCTGTGTTTTTCTGTCCTGTCCTGTATTTATCCCCTCCAATCCCAATGTATCCCATCCTATATCTCCCCCTATCCTATATAATCTCAACCTATCCTGTACAATGTTACCTATCCTGTACAATGTCACCTATCCTGTATAACGTCACCCCATCCTGTATGATCCCACATCCTGAAGAATCCCACCCTATCCTGAAGAATCTCACCCTATCCTGTATGATCCCACCCTATCCTGTATGATCTCACCCTATCCTACATAATTCCACCCTAGCCCGTATCACAAGACCCTCTGGACGATGATGATCCACCTGCTCTTGGGTCGTGACCCATTTGCGCAATCCACCCCCTTAATCAGTGGGTAATTGCGGGGAACACCCTCTTATGAGGGCAAATACCCCAAGGCACATGGGTGCACTGCAAGCCACTCTGTTGAGAGCCCTTACGTGGAAGGAGCCTTGCCTCCTGTCTTCATGGGCTGATGTGGCACCCCAAGGCAGCCTCCTGAGTCCTACTAAGTCCCACAAATTAAGTTGGAGAATTTCTTTGACAAACCTGATTCTACTGCCATGTGCCCATGTACACACATCCCTGCTCCTCCCGATTCTCTTTAACAGTCCCGAATGCTTAGCCTGCTGCAACCCCCTGTGATTGCTGTATCCTATCTGTTCCCTTGGAGCTTATCGTTTACCTTCTGTAAGATGTTTATCTCTGGTTAAATGTGCTGGCTATATTAGTGCATGCATGCTTTCTCTAGAGCTTAGAGGATGATCAATTCTTGTAGATAAGTGTTGGGTGCTGCTGCTGCCTGGAGTGCTGGGTTCTGCTGCTGCTGGTGCTGGTGGTGGGTGCTGCTGCTGCTGGGAGTGGTGGGTGCTGCTGCTGCTGGGAGTGGTGGGTGCTTTGCTGCTGGGAGTGGGGGTGCTTCTGCTGCTGGGAGTGGGGGTGCTTCTGCTGCAGGGAGTGGGGGTGCTTCTGCTGCTGGGAGTGGTGGGTGCTTCTGCTGCTGCTTGGAGTGGTTGGTGCTGTTACTGCTGCTTGGAGTGGGTGGTGCTGCTGCTGTTGCTGCTGAGAGCAGTTGGTGCTGCTGCTGCTTGGAGTGGTTGGTGGTGGTGGTGGTGGTGCTGCTGCTGTTGCTGCTGAGAGCGGTTGGTGCTGCTGCTTTTGGGAGTGGTGGGTGCTGTTGCTGCTGAGAGCGGTCGGTGCTGCTGCTTTTGGGAGTGGGAGGTGCTGCTGCTGCTGGGAGTGGACGGTGTGCTGGAGTGTGGGGGTATGTGCTGTGGCTGGGAATGGGGTGTGGATGATGCTGCTGCTTGGAGTGGTGGGAGTGGATGTTGCTGCTTTTACTGCCAGGGGGGTGGGTTCTGTTGCTATTGCTGCTAGGGGTGGTGGTGGGTGCTGCTGCACTACCGCTAGGGGGGTGGGGTGTCTGTTGGCTGCTGGGAGTGGGGGTCGTCGGCTGCTGGGAGTGGGGATCGTCGGCTGCTGGGAGTGGGGATCGTCGGCTGCTGGGAGTGGGGATCGTCGGCTGCTGGGAGTGGGGATCGTCGGCTGCTGGGAGTGGGGATCGTCGGCTGCTGGGAGTGGGGATCGTCGGCTGCTGGGAGTGGGGTTCGGCGGCTGCTGGGAGTGGGGTTCGGCGGCTGCTGGGAGTGGGGTTCGGCGGCTGCTGGGAGTGGGGGTTGGCGGCTGCTGGGAGCGCGGGTCGTCAGCTGCTGGGAATGCGGGTCGTCAACTGCTGGGAATGCGGGTCGTCAGCTGCTGGGAATGGGGGTTGTTGGCTGCTGGGAGTGGGGGTTGTTGGCTGTTGGGAGTGGGGGTTGTTGGCTGCTGGGAGTGCGGGGGTGTCTACTGCTGGGAGTGGGTTGTCTTCTACTGCTGGGAGTGGAGGGCGTCGAGTTGCACTGCTGGGAGTGAGACACCTTGAATGAGGTGGTAGATGTGCTGGTTGCAAGAAAGGTGAGTCGTGGTCCATGATTCCTGTTTCCTGTTGTGCTTTTTTTGCCCTTTGTCTGCATTTGTTGCTGACACCTCCATCTTTCCTGTGTTCCCCACTTTTGGCTGCAGAGAGTTGTGTGGTGTGTGAATGTGTGTCTGCACCAGGAAGGGGTGGTGTGTGAATGTGTCTGCATGAGTGAGTATCTTTGCATGAAGTGTTTGTGTGTGTGTGTGCATGTGCATGTGTGTGCATGTGACATGTGGTATGGAGCATGGAGGGCATGCATGGAGTGCCAGGTTCCCAGCATCCCCTCATGTCTGCCTCTGCCCTTCACGTCTGCCTCTGCCCTTCACGTCTGCCTCTGCCCTTCACGTCTGCCTCTGCCCTTCACGTCTGCCTCTGCCCTTCACGTCTGCCTCTGCCCTTCACGTCTGCCTCTGCCCTTCACGTCTGCCTCTGCCCTTCACGTCTGCCTCTGCCCTTCACGTCTGCCTCTGCCCTTCACGTCTGCCTCTGCCCTTCACGTCTGCCTCTGCCCTTCACGTCTGCCTCTGCCCTTCACGTCTGCCTCTGCCCTTCACGTCTGCCTCTGCCCTTCACGTCTGCCTCTGCCCTTCACGTCTGCCTCTGCCCTTCACGTCTGCCTCTGCCCTTCACGTCTGCCTCTGCCCTTCACGTCTGCCTCTGCCCTTCACGTCTGCCTCTGCCCTTCACGTCTGCCTCTGCCCTTCACGTCTGCCTCTGCCCTTCACGTCTGCCTCTGCCCTTCACTTACGCCTTAGCATCGGCACCAGCCCTTGAGCATACACCTTTGGGCGTATTCTGCTGCTGTTGTGTACTTGATTCAAGACATATCACTTTTGATTGCTGTAATTTTTTGCAGTAAATACATATCACCTCCTGGGGAGTAATGGTATACAATGTGCATCTGGTCTATTGCTGGTACATAAACAAACAGCTGTCTGAGCTGCGGAGTGGAACCCTGGTGATTGATACTGTATTTTCTGAAATAGCTCGCTTCATGAAGGTGGAATGTAATATAGTCAGTATTCTGGCGAAGCCAGAAATGTTACTTATTTAGCTGGAGTTTCATTTTGTTACTGCTGAGCTGGAGTTAGGGAAATCCCCTAGGGTTTGGTGAATCAATGGTCTTGTTCATTCCATCCTTAGCCAACCTGAACTTGACCGATTTCCCCTAGCTCAGGGACCCCATCCTTCACGTCATATCTCCTCCACGCAATGTGTCATACTTCGCGAGTCATGACTGCTGCTGGTAGGTAGGTATGGTGTTCACATCACCAGCGGCGCTAAAACCTTCCTGGCGCCGTGAGCGCATACACCGCACGCACGCGCTGACGCCGAGTGCTCTGGCGACGAGAGCTTTGGCGCCGAGAGCTCTGGCGCCGTGCGTGCGCGCTGGAGCCGTGGGTGCGCGCTGGCGCCGTGCGTGCGCGCTGGCGCAGTGCGTCGCACTGGGGGGGGGGGGGATCTCTCAGAGGAGTGAATTGAGTAGAATGAGAGGTACAAGACAGTCTTGTTCAAGGGGCAGAGCCTGGCAACAGACACGCAGCTCAGGGTGGTACTACTAGTCCAACCGCTGAGGCAAGGGTCCGAAGACCAGTCAGCAAGAGTGCAAAGGAAACAGGAGCAACTCAGGGCGGCACTACTAGTCCAGCCACTGGAACAAGAGCCACAAGGCCAGCCAAGATAATATAAAGAGCAGTATACAATCAAGGTCCTACCAAGTGAGAAGCTACAGGAACTAGACCAAGCTGTACACAATGCCGCTGATGAACTTTAGGCGCAAACGCCATCGTAAAGATATCAGCTGTGTTGGCACCGGAGGCCAAGTGTACTACACGAGCCTGGCGGCGCTGCTGTAGCTCGCGCAGGAGGAAGTACCGCAGCTGGATGTGCTTCGCTCGGCCCTCCAATCGAGGCTCCTTACACAGGAGGATCATGACCCTGTTGTCACCGTACAGGACCGGGGCAGAGATAGGCTGCTCACCTAAGTCTGTGAGCAAGAAAGTAAGCCAGCGGAGCTCCTGTGCCACCATGGCACTGGCGTAGATCTCAGCCTCACAGCTAGACTGGGCAACAGCCGACGAGTGAGTGGACCTCCACGAGATGGTACCTATACCAAGGCTAAAGCAGTAGCCTTGGGAGAACCTGAGAGTCTCAGCGTCGTCTGCCCACAAAGTGTCTGTGTGCCCTTTAAGGACCACTGGCCTGCGTCCTCCTAGGACTAGCCCCATGCCCAATGTACTTGCTAGATAACGCAAAACTCTCTTAGCGGCCGACCAGTGCTGTGGTCGATGTCTGCATGTGGCCACAAAGCGAGCCATGATGCTGAGAGGGTATGCGAGATCTGGACGAGTGCAAGTCATCAGGTATATGAGGCAACCCACTAGCTCTGCGTACGGACCACCAGGCTCTACTGACTCCTCAGGGACTGGAGCCGAGAGCTTGTGATCTACTAGCAGAGGCGTGGGCTGTGCGGAGGAGAACTGTAGGCCAAACCTTTGAAGGACCTGGGGCACCAAGTGTGACTGTGTAAGAGTGATGGTGCGCGCTGCTCTGTTCCTGGAGATCTGAAGGCCAAGGTAGCGGTGCAGCTCTCCTAGGTCAGTGCAGGTGTGTCTCCTCAGCAGCTCATCCTTTACAGAGGCTAATGCGTCTCTGTCTGCAGTAGCGAAGACCAGGTCGTCTACGTAGGCGAGGATGTAGAATGGGGTCTGGCCATCACAAACGAAGAGTGAGGGGTCTGCAGACGACGGGAAAAACTGCAGGCCAGCTAGCGTAGCACGCAGCCTGCCGCAGGCCGTAAACCGGGCGCCGGAGGAGCCACTGGGTCCCCGGAGCGAAGGTGCCGGTGAAGCCTGGCGGGCGACGCATGTAGACCTGCTCGTGCAGACTGCTCTGAAGAAGCGCTATCAAGAAGCCGAGAGAGTGTAGCTCGTATTCACGCTGTGCTGCTATGTGTAGCAGCGCCCGAAGAGTGGTCATCTTCGGGGTCAGCGCGAAGGTCTGAAAGAAGTCAACACCCTTGCGCTGACTGAAGCCTCTAGCAACGTAGCACGCCTTGAACACCGGCGGCTATCCAGCAGGGCGCTTCACCTTGAAGAGCCACCGGCCATCGACTACGTTCACCTCAAGTGGGGGAACTGCGTCGACGTAGGTGCCGGTGGATCTCCAAGATGCCATCTCCTGCTCCATGGCAGCTATCCACTGAGAGGCCCGGCGTCCCGAGGTCGCCTCAGCGTAAGTGCAAGGGGTCGGGATGTCAAAGGCGTCTGGGTCACCCTCAGGGAGTAGCAGCATGGAGCAGAGATGAGGCGCGACCTCGGACAGGAAAGCAAGCTCGTACTGCCGGTCTTCAAGGACGTCACTGCCAAGGGCAGGAGCATCTCCGACGGACGGAGGACGGGCAAGGTAAGAGACCAGAGCAGTGGCGTAGTCAATGCAGCGGGTAGAGGCAAAGTCAGTGACGGTAACGACATGAGCGTCAAGATTGGAGACAAGAACAGACGGGTCGGTAGCAAGAGAGGCGAGGAACCGAGGAACAAGAGGACTATCGACACGGATTAAGTCAGACAGGGGAGGCGGAGCGACAGCCAGCGACGACAGAGGAGGCGATGGGAGGAGGGGAGGACGAGACGCGTGGGAACGAAGCACCATAAGGTGAGAGCGCTAGACAGGAGAGACAGGACGAGCACGAGAGGGACGTCGAGACCAGAAGTGGGATAGAGGCATGGGGTCAGGAGACACAGGAGGAGACAGATGAGACAAACGAGGGGGAAAACAAGACGGAGACGAGTCCGGCGAAGGAAACACATGACCGTAGACAGGTGGTAGAGGCGCAAACGGGCGAGCAGGGGAGGGGGGACCGAGGAGGCGAAGGGCGGACACCGGCGGCGGCTGCTGCTGCGGCTGCTCAACGCCAACACCAGAACCTCCAGCTGCATGACGGCTACCTCCGAGACACTCCACGCCAACACCCCTAGAGCGAGAACCCTCTCCAACATCGGTGCCATCCTCAGGATCTCCGGGACGAGCCACGACAGCAACCCCAGAACTAGCACCGCCAGAACCAACACCCCCAGAACGAGAACCCTCTCCAGCACCGGTGCCACCTCCAGGACCGCCGGGACAGTACCCCCAGGACTCGCACTCTCCTTAACGACCGCAACCCAACAGCGCGGACCCCTGCGGCGGCTGCTGCTGCGGTGGCGGCGACGGCGGCTGCGACTGCGACGATTGGTGCTCCGGCTGCGGCGGCGACGGCGGCTGCTGCTGCGGCGGCGGAGAAGGGGACACCGGGGCGGAGACAGGCGGCGACACTGAAGCGGCGGGGCCCCCAGAGTCAGCTGACTCCTAGACCGGCTCGGAGTCAGCTGACTCCTCGATCAGGACAACTGACGGGAGGGGAGTGACGTGAGACACACCAGACGGGGCAGGACGGGGAGGAAGAGGAGCAGGGGCTACCGGGGGAGTGAGAACCAAAAATAGGGGCGGGGCAATGGGGAGACATCGGTGGGGAAAGTGGGTGTAGAAAGGCACAGACTCGTCAAAAGTGACGTTACGGGAGTGAAAGAAACGATGAGACGGCGGGTGGTAAAAGTGCCAGCCAGACGCGTCGAGGGGGAAACCAAGGAAGACACACGGGACGGTGCGGGCAGTGAGCTTGTCCGTGCCAGAGGCACGAACGTGAGCAAGGCAGCCCTAGACGTGGAACGCAGACGCGTCACCAGGGAACCCTGTCCAGAGAAGGGTCAGCGAAACCTGTGGCCGCTGGGAGTGTGGCCACATGTTGAGCTGGTGAGCGGCGTAGCGATCCGCGAACGGCCACAGAAAATGGGGTGCACCAGCATGGATCATAGAAGTACGAGCCACCTCCATGACCAAACTGATGCGTTGCTCAGCAACCCCATTCTGCTGCGGGTAGTCCGGCAGGGTGTACGACTGGGAGATGCCCTCTGCACGACAGAACTTGCCAAGCCGACCGGATGCGAACTCGCCGCCACAGTCGGAGTGGAGACGCAGCACGGGGAGTCCGCGGTGGACTTGTGCAGCTACGACCTACGAGATAAGGGCGCCAGGCATGTCGACCTTCTGCTCCAGGGAAAACACCTTGGTGTAGCGCGTGAAGTTGTCAACTCGCACAAGAAAGTAGCGCTCGCGACACGGCCCAAGGACAGGGACGGGACCCCAAACGTCCAGGTGCAGGGTCTGGAATGGCGTAGTGGTAGGGGGGAGCGAGGAGGAGTGGGGAGCATGGCGCAGCTGGCCCTCGACACAGGGCGTGCACAGCGGTGCAGGCGAGGGAGGGAGGGCAGGGAGCGACGCAGGGAGACCACGGACAAGCCCGTGATGGGACATGTGACGCATACGCGGGAGGGCGGGGTGACCTAGAAGGTGGTGCCACCGCAGTGAAGGGTGGGTGAGCAATCGACACGAGCAGGCTGTAGCTACCTGAGTGGACGCGGCGAAGTGGGGGGGCGTTCCGACCGGGGGGGACACAGTGTTCAGCGTGAACAGGCCAGAAACAGGGTCCTGTGGGAACGTGGTAAGAGGGGCACCAGTGGCGACCTCGGTATAGACGGCGTACTGCTCGTGTCCAGGGAACATAGTGGTGACACCAAGGTCCTGAAGACAGCCGACACCGACTAGATTCCTGGAGAACGAGGGGATGTACAAGCGTATAAGAGAGCCCGAGGGGACCACCAGACAGGGAAGGGTAGAATGAGAGGTACAAGGCAGTTTTGTCTAAGGGGTTGGACTCTCTATAGGACTGAACCTATCTAGCCTATAATATATGCAATACATGTTAGACAAAATCTACCAGTTGTTTCAGAGGGCATGCAGACGGGAGGAGGAAGAAGGGGGTTAGAGAAGGAAGTTACGAGTGCTACCGAAGGAGGTAAGCGTGCTTACTTATCTTTCTGTATTGCCGACTCTTGTTCCTACTTTGGCACTCTCTCGCTATTGGTTACATCTCACGATCTTTCTCTTGCCTTTCTTTTTCCCTCACCTT